CGCATTAAATCGCGATGTTAACATCTTTGTGACTCGTACAAACTGAGTTGAAATTAATGTTTAGATTTTTTTTAAGGAGATAAGACCGCGAAATCACAAATCGAACAATGAATTTCGAATGGACGGCGATCTTGGCGTCAAATCGCGAAACCGACGCGTCGCGTTAAATCGCGATGTTAATATCTTTGTGACTAGTACAAACTGAGTTGAAATTAATGTTTAGATTTTTTTTAAGGAGATAAGACCGCGAAATCACAAATCGAACGATGAATTTCGAACTGACGGCGATCTTGGCGTCAAATCGCGAAACCGACGCGTCGCGTTAAATCGCGATGTTAGTTTGCACTAGTCTTCGTGCCTAGTACAAACTTAGTTGAAATTAAATTTTTACGAATTAGAGTTATTTGAAATATTTTTCTTCTACATCAAGTCATTCGTAATTCCAATAAATAAAAATAACGCAATTAATTTTCCTTGTGAAAACTATGTAATCACAAAGGGAAGATATCCTCGAGAACAAATAACACGACTGCTCCATCAAAACCGTAATAGAGCTCTCAACACACTAACCGTGAGGAAAAAATATCCCATAAAGTGGCGAGAAAAGCGAGTGGAATATAGAACTGAGTTTCTGCAAGTAGACACAGAGACTTTAATAACTAACTGGCAGAGTACTCCGAGCAGGTGCTGTCTCGACCAAGTCTTAAGGGAGTAATTCCGAGCGATGACGTGCAGGGGGGCGGGGGGATATTGTGAAGAAATTACTCCTGAATATTTTGTCTGCGTGGTTGTTCTTACGGTATTAGCCTTACGCTTCAAGTGTTTTTATCAATAAAGAGGGAAATTATATCTCACAATTCCGGAATAACGCCGCAAAGTAGTGGAATGAAATGAAATTTTTCTGTTTAATTTACGATAACAAGTGGTTTTAGAGGACAATGTCAAAAGATCTTTTTTCTGGTATTCTTTTGTAGAATTACTTATTATTAATCTCTTAATCTCTAATTATTAATCTCAGTTTGCTCATTAGTTCGACTCTTCGGGGATACCATAGAGGACATCGCCATAATATGTGATCGATATCTTGGGACTCTGCAGCACAGGTGCAGCTTGCGTCGCGGATAACAGTAATTCTTTCAAGTGACGCATTCAAGTGATTGTGATCCGCTCCCGTTCTATTTATTATAACAATCAGCCCTCTGGGCCAGCTGTTTCCCTGATAGCAGGGGGGAAATGCGCATCTACATATAATATTTTTCGAAATATTGAACTCCTTTTCCATCCCCTGCATTTGGTTTTTTATCTTGACTACTGTTTCATATTTCTCTTTTGCTTTGGAAATATATTCGAAGTAGTACGAACAAACTCCAGTTGAGTGGTTGAGGGATGAAGCTAAAACTGTCGGAATATTCGCTGGCGGAAAATACAATTTCGGGGATTTTTGAGGGTTCAAGGGTCAAATAATCGTGTGAACAAATTTTTTAAGGCCCGAACGAGTTTGCTCACGACTCTAAAATGTTTCAATACCTCAAGACTCCCCTAAATCGAGTCTTCCACTGGCGAATTTTTCTAGTGCTACTTTTCATCATTGATACTTTTCTATCTGAATGCAGAAACTAATTCATTAATTCTTTTCCTGATCTCCTGACGATAGCGATAGGCGACATGGATCGTCTATAATATTTTTCGAAATATTGGGCTCCTTTTTTCATCCCCTGCGTTGGGTTTTTTATCTTTACTGCTGTGTCACATTCCTCTTCCGCTTTGCAAATACATTCGAAGTAGTATGAACAAACTCCAGTTGAGTGGTTGAGGGATGAAGCTAAAACTATCGTAACATTCGCTGGCGGAAAATACAATTTCGGGGATTTTTGAGGGTTTAAGGGTCAAACAATCGTGTGAGCAAATTTTTTTAAATCCCGAACGAGTTTGCTCATGACTCTAAAATGTTTGAACCCCCCTAGACTCCCCTAAATCGAGTCTTCCACTGCGGATCTTTCGCTAGTTTCATCTTCACCGTCGAGTGTAGCCAGAAAATTAAATTAAAATTCATCACTGATAATTTTCTATCCGAATGCAGAACCTAATCCATTAATTTTTTGCCTGATCTCCCGACGATACTATCTCCTTTCACGACCAGAAAAAAATAACTCCATTCCACTGAGCGTCAGGTGGAATTAATCCTGTACAAATTTAGGAGCCCCCGAGAAAGTTGCACCCAGCGACTACCCTAGATTCTCCATCCAAAGCCCTCCTAACTCCGCACAACTCCAAGGGGTTAACTCCCTCTCTTCACTCGACTTGACTCCCGTTCGTACCGCGTTCCTCAAGTAGTTGAGAAATGTTCTCAACCCTCCCGCCCCCCTCCCCAACCCCTCACATTCATACACATCCCCCCGAGGAGTAGCGCCAAGGAGTCGAAACATTTGTCGCACAAGTCGTATCACACGCACGTGCGACTGCCGAGTTTTCATATCATCCTTCAAACGATTTTATTTATAAATAATGAATGAACATTACCAGGCGAACGAGTCACAGTTAATCCTCGAACTTATTAATTCACTGGTTAACTCACTGACCCCGAAAAATCGAGTGCTTTAGGCAACAAATTTTGTTTAATATTTTGTCCAACGATTGTTTGTTAATTGCACAGGTGATTAATGCCGCTGAAACACTGCGGGCACTTCAGTAATCCATTATAATCGGTAATTAAATTAATAAGAAGAGTGACAACTGCTTCACTCGATTGATTAATCCAGTTTTTTTTCTCGATAGTTTCGATAAATGATTGATCAACTGATTGATTACTCGCGTGATTGATTTAGTTATTGACAAGAAAATCGTTTGGTCGATTGTTTAATGGTACTTCACTGTATTTATTTTAAATCGTTTTACTTTCATCACAAAACGACAATCACGCACGGTAGAAACGCACGATTCCGTGGACTGCTGCCTCGACGAGGCACGGAGAGCGACTGGCGTACGCGTACGAAACCCAAAAATGCCCACCCCTCCCACACACCCAACCCCCTTTGGATTCAACTTGCCTGAGGCCGCAACCCCAGTGTCCTCCCTGTACTCACCAGCAACTCTCTACTCCACTCCCCACCACCGCTACTCTGCAACTCTCCTGCTGGCATGGCCTCAACGCCGGTTTAATGCGCGCGCATGCGTCCAAGGGGTGCGTCCTAGATTTTCGTCTCGCCGGATCATTTTTTTGGGGGATGAAAACGTTTGTCTTCGGGAGAAGTGAGTTGCATAGCGAGAGAGGGTGTGTTAGGAAAGGGGAATTTTTCGGGTTTTATGTCCATTTTTATGAATATCGTATCCCACGAATTGGGATTCACGATTGAAATCTAAAAAGAATATTTAGAGAATGGGCAGGAAATGCAATGAACTAATTTTTGGATTCAGATAAAAAATTATCGATCATATTATTTATTTATTTATTTATTGCAGGCCACATATAGCCTATTCGCCATTTTACGTTCGTACATTAAATTTTTAACAGAGGAAAGAATAATTGCCTTCTTTAAACAAACATAAAAACCTGGGAATAGCTAATAACAGTATTAGTATAAATGAAAAACGAGGTAAACAATTTCGAATTTCGAAATTTCCAATTAATTTTTCTCGATACATTCAACGATGAAGCTGAACCTAGCTCAAGATTCGCCAGTGGAAGACTCGATTTAGGGGAGGCCAGGGGTGTTCAAACATTTTAGAGTGCTGAGCAAACTCGTTCGGACTCGAAAAAAATTTGCTGACGCGATTGTTTGACCCTTCAACCCTCAAAAATCCTCGAAATTGTATTTTCCACTAGCGAATGTTCCGACAGTTTCAGCGTCATCACTCAACGCCTCAACTGGAGTTTGTTCATACTACTTCGAATGTATGTACAAAGCAGAGGAGAAATGTGACACGGTAGTAAAGATAAAAAACCTAACAGGGGATGGAAAAAAAAGATTCCAATATTTCGAAAAAAAAATATAGATGATCATTTCACCAATCGCTATCGTCAGGAGCTCAGGAAAAGAATTAATGAATAAGTTCCTGCATTCGGATAGAAAATAATCAATGATGAACTTGAATTTAATTTTCTGGCTGCACTCTACGATAAAGCTGGACCTAGCGCAAGATTCGCACAGTGGAAGACTCAATTTAGGGGAGTCCAGGGGTGTTCAAACATTTTAAAGACGTGAGCAAACTTGTTCGGACTCGAAAAAAATTTGCTGACGCGATTGTTTGACCCTTGAACCCTCAAAAATCCTCGAAATTGTCTTTTCCACTAGCGAATGTTCCGACAGTTTCAGCGTCATCACTCAACGCCTCAACTGGAGTTTGTTCATACTACTTCGAATGTATGTACAAAGCAGAGGAGAAATGTGACACAGTAGAAAAGATAAAAAAAAAACCAAATCATTTCGCCTCTGGTACCAGAGGAACAACTCGCCCAGAGGGCTGATTGTTAGAATAAATAGAACGAGAGCGGACCACAATCACCTGAATGCGTCACTTGAAAGAATGTCTATTGTCCCCGACGCAAGCTGCACCTGCGATGCAGAGTCCCACGACATTGATCACATATTATGGCAATATCCTCTGTTGTATCCCCGAAGAGTCGAACTAATGAGCAAACTGAGATCGTTGAATCATTTCTCTCATTTCTCTCTGTTCGGCTATCGATGAATACTTCACGAATAGTAATGCCGTCAATCAATAAATATCAAGTATCTCCCAAACGGTTCGCACTCATTATTTTGCACCCCTTGGTCAGTAACTCAAGGTGTTGAGGGCATTTTCTTTAGGTAGGTTCCACCAACCAACTACTGCGCAAAATTGACCAATCAAGACACGATTTTGAATGTCTGGTTTCATGAAATTCGTTCAAATAGGACAACGCTTTTATTTTATTATACGGATTTTTATGAGTTGAGCCCCATTAGAGTTCGAATATTCTTGTTTATACGACATAATATCAATAAATAACTCCTCATCAATCCATCTCCATCTCCATTTATTCATCTAATTAATTTGATTACATCATTTCGTTCCTCTCAATGTTTCACAACATTTGCCCAACTCGTTCAACAGAATTCGTAATTGAGATATGTTCAATGCACATCCCAGCAACAGCCACGCCCCAGTCGAGAATCAAGTCCTCTAAATATGCTCAGGGTGGATATTATGTTGGAAAACCTATGTACTCGGTGGGATAACCCAGTTTCATACGTGAAACGACTCCCCCGCAAATTTGACGAGACGCTATTGTCTCTGGTAACTAGGGAAAAGGGGAGGGGAGATGTGTTCAATCGGTGGAGGATCCTTCCCGTGAATATTTCCTCAGGATTTCATGAAGTTATTCTCAAGACAGAACAGTTTAATGCAATTCTCGTTTACAGGGCTGGATAGGGAGGACTTGATTACGGTTTTAATTAAAAATTTTGAGGTAATTAATTGGAGGACGTTGGCGAGGGGATTGGGTCATCCGGGGCTGACTCTCCTTCTTGTTGCTCGTCTGTCGATGATTGGAGGACGTCGGCTTTCAGCAGGTGCACCAGTTCGCTCGCTGTCAGCGCCTGGAATTTTAGAGATGAGGGGTAATTAGTTGATTAATTTAGGGAGGAAGTGTTCAGCTTTTTAAGGATGAGCTATGCAGGGAGTTTTAAAGCTTGCTTCGATGTTTTTGTGGTTAAATGGATTAGTTTTTTCGATTGTAACTTACGATTTAGAGAAAATATCGAAATTTTCACTTGAGATTTAAGAAAAATTGATAAATTGAAAAAAAAGTAATAAATTTGTTTTTATCAGTTTTTTCCAAATTGTAACAGAATCGAGAAAAAAAATTCAATTTAAAATTAAAATTCAAAAAGAGAATAAAATTGTTTTCAGAGAAAAAGTGAACTTGCAACATTAAACACAACATGCAAAATTATTATCTGTACGGCTCTCAATTTTCTTCCCAACAAGAACCTTAAAAAATGTCCCAAGACGAAATTACACCACTTGCCAACTAAATTTGTTTTTTTAGGGAATTCTCAGTTTGCTGAGGATTAATATAAAAAAAAAGTTTGTGTAGATTCTTGGAGAGGAGTTGCGTGTTGTTGATGAGATTAAACAACCTGAAGATGCGGTGTTATGTGTCTCAACAAGGGATTAGTCCCGAGGATGGCTTCTTCTTCGGGGTCTAATCTTCTGCCACTGGTGATTAGTCGAGCGATTGTGTCCTCCTTGACTTGGGACAGGGAGTTCACGAGGTCCTTCTTCGAGGTTCCACCCTGGACTTGACGGAGTCTTGAGTCTACGAGAGCGATTCAATTAATCGAGCCTCAAAATTCATTACATAAATTTCCTTTCAACTATGAAAAAATAAACGTAAAATCAATTTGAGGTCAACGCAATTCTACTTGAATTCCTTGAGTTTAAAAAATGTTGTGGAGGTCTTGCTGATTATCTAGGACTTACAAAGTCTCTGGAGGTATTGATCAGAGTCGTCTAACCTCATGACATCAGCCTGCGCTGTTACGAATGAATCCTCAAAGGAAGTCGAGGCTTCACTCGCTGGCACTTCTGGGCCAGAGCCCCATGGATCCATCGTCAGTGTCTTCATGAGAATTGTCTGGGATTTGTCGTATTTATTACTCGGGGGTTTGACAGGGAAATTATGAGTGATTATGAGGCATCAGCTGTTTGACGATTATAAACACCAGTTCAACCAGTTCTAACTGGTGCCTCCATCAGGTGGAGAATTCAACATGTTCGGGCTTTCGAGGGATAACGAAGACATCTGTGCTGTCGACAGGTCATTTCGTGAATATTTTGAATGATTCCATTTACAAATGAAATGTTATCTCGAAAACATTAGTTAAAAAACGTAATTTTTGTTTTGCCTTTTAATTTTTTGACATTGAACAATTAAAAAAATTTTAATTAGTAATTCAGTTGTTGATTCAAATAATTGAATTGACATTTAATTTGCATCTTTTATTTCGCATTTTAATTCTCGTCTCGTTCATTTTAAGCATTTCAATTAAATTATTGGAAAGTACGTAATTTTAATCATAATTTTTAATTCAATGAAACTGAACGACTTTTCTACCATTTTAATTAATAATTCAATTACTGATTAAAATAATTAAATTGAGATTTAATTAAAACCTTTTAATTCTCATTTTAATTCTCCCGTCATTCTTTTCAATCATCAGTTAACTTTCTAATGGTGAAAGGAAAATAATGAACACATTTAATTTTCTTAAAAAAATACCGTTGATTTAATTACTCCGAGTAAGCGTCTATAATACTATGAATTAATCATTACAACATTATCGTCAGTCTAAAATTCCTTACATTAAATTAATCATCCGCTGGTCATCGATCACTCGAATGAATGAATACAAACTACCTCAGAGTATTGCAAATGACGATATTTATGTACAGAATTGAGAACAAAAGTGCCGAGGATATTTCGAAATGTACAAAATCAATAATTCATCACGAATTAGTTTCCTCCATCACTCATCGTTAATCATTAATTTTTCTCATTACGCACTTATAAATAATTACAAACAGTTATGTCAATGATTAGAGATAAATGAGGATACCCAGACAGACATTTTTGGGAGTTTTTGATAAAAATGTGACAACAATACTTTAAAAAATCGGTTATTCAAAGTTTCTCAATTGATTTTTGTACATTTTGTCATGAACTTTAAACAAAAACCTAATGGAAAATCATAAATATTTATTTAAATCCGTTTTTCAACTAGAATTTTCCTCTTTCCAATCAAAAAATCCCAGAAATATCGACTTTCGAATATCTTTCAAGAATAACATATCCATATTCGTGATGTTCATGATATGAAAATAAATGTCAGCAGTGTTACGACCTAAATCAATACATACACTTCCCCCCTCTAAATCCATTAGTATAAATTAGTAAAATAGATAATAAAAAATTGAGCCGATGTTTATAAAAAATCGTTTTGTAAACAAAAAAAAATCACAACCGAGTGCCAATAATTTACTTTTTAATCCTCATACGAAAGGCGAATTATATTCTAAGCGATGAATTCAACCGTGACTACGAAAATGTCGATTAAAGAATGATCACAACCAGCGAGTGGCGAATAAAAATACCATAATAGGAAGCTATAGTTCCAATAAATAACTATTACATTTTAAAATTAGGCAATTGGTTTCATAATCTAGTTGTTCATGGTCCTCTAACACAATTCAATATCCCTCGTTTTGAATTCAATGCATTGTTTGTCATTTCTTCATAGTTCGTAATCAGCGATACGAAATCTTATCTCTACGGTATTGGAAATTATCGTCGACACAACTTGTAGAAATTCGAAGGTTTCCACCCACTTTTATTATTATTTTAATTTTACTTTTGATTGAAATGAGATCATGGAAATAATTTTTTCAAGTGATCAAACGCGAAGGAAGAATTAATTATTTCATTACCTCGTTAAGGAGTGGATTTAGGACGAAATGTCGTAGAACACTTTTCGTAGAAAATTTCATCAGCTACAAAGAAGCTCTTATGACCTTTCCTCCTCAAACCACTAGATACCGAGATAATTTCCAATTAAGTAACTGCATTTTTTTCATCACGTTTTACCTGTAGATAAATGAATAAATCCTAATTAGAATTGCTTAATTATCTTGTTAAGGGGTGGGTCTAGGACGAAAAGTTATAGAGCACTTTTTCTAGAGCATTTCATCAGCTACAAAGAAGCTTATATGATATTTCCTCCTAAAACCACCCATTATCGAGATAATTCCCAATTTATGGAGTTCACTTTTTCCCACCGCATTTCAAGTGTTAATTAACGAATAATTCCAATTACAAATGCATAAAATCCCCAAAAAACCGATCACCTTTTGATTCAGAGTCCTTACCAGATGGACAGTCTCTCCAGAGCATCGAATAACGTCTAATAACGCTAACTTGGCAAGACATCAAGTGAGTTGATTATAATATTGTCTGCTCGCCCACGTCAAATCTATATTCGCAGTTATTCGTCGACTCAGCCTAACATAAATAAACGTATTTCTCTCGTCATCGTCACGATTAGAATGAGCCAAAAAAACAATTCTCGAGGGACACTCACTCCCAGATTGAATGACACCCTCAATTCACGATGAAGAAGACTCGAGGGGGAACAAAAACGATTGCAGTGATTTCATTTTGTGATGATTCGAATTTTTTGGGGAATGTTTTTTATGGGGCTGACGAGGGCGGTCTTTCCCAACAGCACAACCATCTTCGCCAGAGTGGAGGTGGTTTTCTACGACGTGACAGCAAATTTGCACCACCACGCCTTGTGCTGAGTGCACTGACTATCGCCTGATCGAAGGCCTCTTTGAGATCGTGTTGAGTCAATGCTGATGTCTCAACATAACTCACTGCCCCTAACCTTTGGGCCAACTGGTGACCCTGAGCGGTTGTTATCGGTGATTGACCGTACCTAGCTAATTGCAGCATGAGGCGAACGTCCGAGCGGAGATCGCTCTTTGTACCCACCTGAAAATTAAAATTTTTGTGTTATCAGTCTCTTTGTTTTTGTTCAGATTGGCGATAGCTCGGTGAGGGGTCGATCTAGAAGGAAATGCGAGAATAACTTTTTCACGGAGAATTTTGTGAGCTACAAAAAAGATTGAAAGGTATTTTTTGCTGGAGGTGATGGTTCCGGAGATATTTACAAAAATGTCATATGAGATTTTGGGAGATTGAAGTAATTATCGTTATTCATTCATTCATTTATTTTTTTCAGTAATAAACAAATTTTATTCAATCGTGTTTCCATTCCAATTAATTAAGATGAATTATTCAAGTCAATCAGTAATAATTTACAAAATTCCCTACTTGTTTTCAATTATTCAATTGTCGATAAAATCAATCTTAACGAATTTATGAGAGAATTGAATTATTCTTCTCACGAAATCGAATCAATCAAATTATTAGTAGTATTTTCAATTCTGACTAGATGTCGATTGAACTCATTTTCATTATTTATTTATTAACTATCGCCTAGAAATGGACTTCCTGTGACATTTTCCTATTTTCATCAACTAATAAACAAATTTCGAAAAATTCATCTCTCTATGTTATAAAAATCCAAATTGACTTCTGATAAAAATTTGGTACTTGGAATTGAGACTCCATAATTAAGGGTTACGAGGGTCAAAATAATGGTCATAAAGGTCAGAATAAGGGTCATGAGGGTCAGATTAAGGGTCACAGGGGTGAGATTAATGGTCACGACACCCAAAATAATGCTCATGAGGGTCAGAATATGGGTCATAAGAGTCCGAGGTTCAGAATCAGGGTCATGAGGGTCAGAATAAGGATCACAATTGTCAGAATAGGGGTCACGAGGGTCAGAATATGATCAAGAGGATCTGAATAAGGGTCATGAAGGTCAGATTAAGGGCCACGAGGGTCAGATTAATGGCCATGAGGGCCCCAGAATAAGGTTTAGGAGGGGTATAATGAGGGCCAGATCGAGGGTCACAAGGGCCAGAATAAGAATAATGGGGGTCATATGGGGGTTGGCGAGCGGAGCGAGCTAGTAATGAAAAAAAATGTTTTTCCACTCACAATGATGATCGGCGCATGAGGACAGTACTTTCTGACCTCGTCCACCCACCGAGAGCTGACACTATGATAACTCGATGGGCACACGACGCTGTAGCAAACGAGGAAGACATCTGTCTCGGGATAGCACAGCGATCTCAATGGATCAAAGTCATCCTGTCCCGCTGTGTCACACAGTTGGACATTTAGCGGCAGTCCATCAACATTAACCACCACTGAAAATAGGTATCAATGATCCCATAAGTGAAGACATAAACTTCAACAATAGCTTTTAAATGACATCTTATGTAAAGATGATGGAAATCTTTAATAATAGTTCAACCGAGTCGCTCATGTGCACCTCTGGCATTGCACAACATTTACAATTCTGTGACATTCGCGTGGGCTCACCAATAATTGGAATATGGGTCGTACGTAATCGATCGATAAAACGATGATTATTTCATTCGTTTCCACGAGAAAAGCGTTTTTTTTAGCTGAATGATAGTTGAAGACTTTTTTTTGAGATATCTCGAGATCTATGGGAGATAGCGTAATTCTTGCGAGGAACTTTTTTGTAGAGAATTTCATAAGCGACAAAAAAGGTTCAGACAAACATTTCGCCATCCCCTTTAGATTCCGAGATATCCTGCAGAAACTGAATGTGAAATCAAATTTCCTGTTTTTTTCTAAATAAATTTATTCAGACGTTTTAAAGATCCTGTTTCCTCATTTTCACCTCATAAATACTTCATTTTTCTTCAAGTCAATAATTGAAATATTGATGATAGGTGATCGATGAATAAAATAACTATTTCATTCGTTTCCACAAAAAAGCGATTTTTTAATGTGAACAAAAATTGGAGATTAGTTTTTTGTAAATATCTCGAAAACTAGAGCAGATATCAAAATTCTTATAGAAACTTCTTTATAGCACATTTCATCAGCTACAAAAAACGTTCAGACAAAAATTTCGCTATTTCCTCTAGATTCCGAGATATCCACCAAAAACCGGTTCTGAAATCAAACATCCTTTTTGTCCTCCTGAATAAATTCACCTAGACGTTTTAATATTCCTTTTTCTTCATTTTCCTTTCATAAAAGTCTTGTTTTTTTCGTTGTAATGATCTAAATCCCTTCTGAAACCGAAACCCAAGCCGCAACCGGTCTACTAGATACCCGGAATTTTCTATCCCCCCAGATTTTTTGAGCAAAGTAATCCAATCCCTCTTTCGTGAATTAGTGTGTACGAGTGGCATCCTCCTCTCTTTCTTCGCAAGCCATACAAGCCGTAGCCAGTGGCGGTATACTCTCACCTGTTGCCCTGTCTGTCTACCTTGGGTGAGTACAGTCACCCCAGAAAACAGTATCCTCTAGTTTCTGTAATCTCCACCCCACTTCAAAGAACCATGAGCCACGATGACTCACAATGAGACGCTGTGCCAGTCATTCGGTAAACAGATAAACAATATCGGGAGCTATTAATTATGCCCGGGGGGGAGAGAAGAAAATAAAGTTCGTAATGCGTTCCCTCAAGATGCGAGAAATTGTAAAAAATTGAATGTTTTTGTCTTGCAGCTGCGAAATTATCTCGGCAACGAGTGGTTTTAGGAGGAAATTTCAGGAGATTTCCTTTGCAGAAGAGAAAATTCTCTGCAAAAAATCCTTTTTTACATTTTGGAATGGAATTGTTGGTCGGTAAGGTATATCCCAAGACAATAACAATACTTTATGGAGTTCCGGAAAAAAATCTTAATCAGTTAATTTACTGCATTCTCATAAGTTATTGATTTTTTCCATTCTCGTATGCTTGTTGTTCATGGAGACAACAATAACTGTTTGAATCAAATTAGACATTATTTGTTAATCAATTGATTAAATCAAATAAGATATAATTTCACGAAATTTCCAATTGAAGACGAATTAAATATTCAAAAATATGGAACTATGAATTTTCTATTAAGTAGATAATACTAAATTTCTTATAAGGGATTTCCGATTATTCAAATAATCGTCAATCTTCTTAAATCAATTACTGATTAATGAATAATTCCAGATTTGAATATTTAAACTGATGATTACTTCAATAATTAATATTTAAAAGTGATATTAACTAATTGACAGTTAATTTTTACCAGTAATTATAATTTATGAATATGGCTATCTCTTGTTCGGAATTTATCAATTCTGATGTTGCATTCTCTGTGGAAATGTTATTTAAGACTCTCCGAGGAAACTAGTTCTTATTGAGATAATTCAGGAATTGATAAGACAAATCGTTTTGTTACGAAAACCTGAAGAACAGGATTTTCTATTCGTGTTAATCTCGTAATTATCTCGGAACTGAGTGGTTCTGGGAAGAAATGTCAATAGATGTTTTTTATGGCTCAGGAAATTTTCTACGAAAATGATTTGTGACATTTTTTCCTAAAACGAGTCTCTAGAGAAATAATTGAACAATTGAAAAGACGTAACAGATCAATTCGCCAGACAAAGCTCAAAACCCAAAATTTCTCATTCATTTTGGTCTTATTTATTTCAGAAATTAATAGTTCTAGGAAAAAATGTCATAAAATCTTTTTTGTAGCTCAGGAAATTCTCTATAAAAATTGCTCGTGATATTTTTTCCTAAAACCACTCTCTATCGAGATAATTAAACAATTGACAACACCCAACAGAACAATTAGTCTCACAGCGTCCAAAAAACGAAAATCCTCATTCTCGTTTTTTGCAATTATCTCAAAAACGAGCAGTTCTACGAAAAAAAGTCGTAAGACCTTTTTTACAGCGGACAAAATTCTCTACAAAAACTATACATACCATTTCCTCCCAAAATCACTCCCTATCGAAATAATTTAACAATTACCCAGTCATAAAAATTCTAAATCCAACAAAAACCAAAACTTGCTTTAAGAACATATCCAGAGTCCCTCCCGCAGCTGCAAAAATTCCCCCAGAAAGCTCTTCTCCCCCTGTCCCAACCCCCGGACTTCCCAAACCCCCACAAAAACTTTCCCAATCCCCTAAACCCTGAATTTCCCCCCGGACTGTACCCTCTCCGGCCGACTGCCCATGAAGTCTCCCAGCGTAGCATCTCCCCACCCATTGAACAAAAAAAAACTGCAAAATCCCAACATACCATTGTAATTATCAAACGCAGTGGGCACATACTCCCCAGGAAATCCATTCGTCGAGTACGAGACAACGAGACTGGTTTTCCCAACAGCTCCGTCACCCACGAGCACCACCTTGATCCTCCTGTCCAGTTCCTGAACATTCTGCCTCACATTTCCAGTCGCACGTTTCACCTGCATCTGCATCATTTGTCCGCCCTTGAGCAGGGGTTTCGTCCAGTTGGAGTGAGATGAAGGCGGCATTGTCCCACAATTGCCCTCTTTCATCAATAAAAATATCCCCTGCCCCTATTTTTACTATTTTTCACTCAGAATCAACACAAAAACCGAATCAATCCCTCAACCAATTCAATCCAACATCTAATTGAATCAATACTCGATGATTTTTTCTTCAACTCCAATTGATCTTAATTTTTTTCTTCAACTTGTTGAAGCCACTGATTGTCCTTTTTCATCAATAAAAATTTCCCCTGCCCCTATTTTTACTATTTTTCACTCAGAATCAACACAAAAACCGAATCAATCCCTCAACCAATTCAATTCAACATCTAATTCAATCAATCCTCGATTATTTTTTCTTCAACTCCAATGGATCTTAATTTTTTTCCTTCAACTTGTTGAAGCCACTGATTGTCCTTTTTCATCAATAAAAATTTCCCCTGCCCTTATTTTTACTATTTTTCACTCCAAATCAACACAAAAACCGAATCAATTCCTCAACCAATTCAATTCAACATTTGATTGAATCAATACTCGATTATTCTTTCTTCAACTCCAATTGAGATTAATTTTTTTCCTTCAACTTGTTGAAGCCACTGATTGTCCTTTTTCATCAATAAAAATTTCCCCTGCCCTTATCTTTACTATTTTTCACTCCGAATCGACACAAAAACCCAATCCCTCAACCAATTCAATTCAACATCTAATTGAATCAATACTCGATGATTTTTTCTTCAACTCCAATTGAACTTAATTTTTTCCTTCAACTTGTTGAAGCCACTGATTGTCCTCTTTCCTCAATAAAAATTTCCCCTGCCCCTATCTTTACTATTTTTCACTCCGAATCGACACAAAAACCGAATCAATCCCTCAACCAATTCAATTCAACATCTAATTGAATCAATCCTCGATTATTTTTTCTTCAACTCCAATGGATCTCAATTTTTTTCCTTCAACTTGTTGAAACCACTGACACCATCCCCCCTCCCCCACTTATGTATCACGACCGAAGGAACAGCTGTTCTGTTCCATGCGCAGCAGCATCCCGAACTCACCCCAGGGGATCGAGAAAGTGCAGGAAATTTTTTTTCCGGAAATTGATTCCTCTTGAATTCCCGATTCCTCTAATTTATTCGCACTTGCTGGTTTTTTATTCACTCGCCGAGGGGCTGGGGGTTGTGCACAAGGGGTGGATGCTGATTGGAGTTGTTATGCAGTTGTGGGGGATTTTTTTTTCGGGATAAAGGAGCCGTGGGAACTCGAGACAATGGGAGAACAGGACAGAACGCGCTCGTGTCGGATGCACGACTGATTCACCTGCCTGGGATGTGGAGCCACCTGTTGTGGAGCGTTGGAGACGATCGAAGGAAGTTCGAGGCCGACGCTGCCGCCTCGGTGTCTGTTGAGCGCCTGTTGGTCGGAGGGGGGTTGATGGAGTTGAAGAATTCAATTGCTGTTTTTTTTTAATGAGCGGAGCGATGAGCGATGGGGGGAGATTGGGGAAAAGGTTGAATACGTATTTTTTTATTTTTAGGAGTTATGAATAATCGGGGGTTTATGGGCGGTTGAAGAGGACAAGGTCTGCAGAGTGACGTCATGGCTAATTCTATTGCAGCTCTACTTTTTTGACCGATTTTTCCATTTTCTAATTTTGATCGCTAGTGGTCTAGAATGTTATGAAACGTGAAGAAATGATTAGTCATGTCTTATGCATGTTTCTTATTAATTTTTAGAAAACTCAACATAAATGCAGGGAAATTTGTAGATAAAAATCTGAAATTTTGGCTCATTATAGTTGTTATTGAGCTCAACTTTGGCGCGCTGTTTCGGTTCAATCGGTCCAGTAGTTCCTGAGATATAACAAATTGTTTAAATTTCGTTTTTCCTCAATATCTCAAAAACTACTGCACCGATTAAAATTTTTTTTTTCAAAATACTCGTCTCGATGGTCTCTATATGGGCCAATCCGAGTATATGGTTCATATATAGTGTGTCTTTAATACACAGTTTGGAGATATTGCCGTTTTTCTATTTTTCATGGAAAATCCTGTACAGATTCATTATAATGGAAAATTATTTGGAAGTTTTGACGGGCGAAGATTTTGTCAATGGATCAATTGAAAAGCAAATGAAACAGCAAAATCCGCAGTTCGGAGCAAGACCCAGGGGGAGAACCAGAGGGTCTCTACTGACAAAATCTTCGCCCATCAAAATTTCTCAATAATTCAGTAGCGAAACGGTAAACCGGGTCAAGTCAATTTTGACTTTTAGCCAATTTTTGCTGAATATCTCGGAATCTAAGAGAGATAGCGAAATTTTTCTCACAACCTTTTTTATAACCCTCAATTGACTCTACAAAAAAGATCGTGACAAAAATTTGTCTATCTCTTTTAGATTCCAAGATATTCGTCAAAAACTGATCAATAGCCAAAATCGACTTGACCCGGTTTACCGCTTCGCTACTGAATTTTCCATTCTATTGAAAAGTTAACAAAAAATATATTTAATAAAAAAAAATTTTTTGCTTGAATTGCGTCAAACAGTCGTTTTTTTACTGTTTCATTTTGCCCACTCTCCCCTATTGTCTTCCAATTTCGTAAAAATTTCCCCAAAATATCATAAAACGCCGAAAATCCGGTTATTGCCCCGAACTCAATATTTTTGTTCCACTTCCTCTTGCAAAATCCCCCCGACATGCGCAGGGAAATGCGCAGCGGCTCAGTCGCTCCGAAAGTCCGAAATGTGCTCGATAAATTCGTTAATGCGTGCATGCACTGTAGCACGTGCGAAGCTTCACGTGCCCCCAATAACGACCGGGAATAGTCCTTGAGTCGTGGCACCAAGGGCTTCATCGTGTTTCGATCGTCAGATGTGGGGATATCGACGGAGCAGCGGAACGAGAACAACAGAGCAAAACATAGCAGAAAAACACCCGACATAACCCCAAAAATCCGAGCCATCAGTTGATCCAATCAGGCAAATTGGATTGACCGTTGAAAATGTCCATTTTCAGGATTCTCCGGGGGAATCGACACGTGCGGTGAGTATGCACTGGTTTTTCTCGTGGATTTTTTCACACGGGGGGTAATTGTGCCGGCAGAGGCACGAAGTGCTGGTCGTGGGAGGCTCCGAGGAAGTGCCAGGAGGTGGTTGTCATCAAGAGATGTGCTACGACTGCCAATCCCGAGAATAAGTTCGGGGGACTGTGGGGTTTAACTAGGAAATGGAGAGTGAGCCTGCCCATTGGAGTTGGGGTCTCGCTGATTGCTGTGCTACAGTGGAGACACTTGAGGAGGTATCCCTATGCTGTTGATGGGGATGTCGTTCAGGGACCCATAAGTGACTTGATGGTATGAGTTTTTCCATCATTTTATTGGGGGTTTGGTTTTTTTTTGGTTGATGGGTGTTGGAGGAATGGAATTGTGAGAGGATTGTCATTAGATGAGATGGAGTTGTGAAAGATGTAGCTGAAGACAGAGGACGATTGGGGAAGAAGTTGAGGATTTTGAATGAATAATGAGTTATTTTAGGTCTCTGGAACTTGTTAATTTAGGGATGTGGTTTAGGGACAAATGAGTGACTGGATATGAGTTTTTCGATAATTTTAGTAGAGATTTCTGTTTTTTTTTTTGGTTCATATGTCTCAGACTCGAAGACATAATAAATGAAATGAAAATAATTATAATTAGATGAGAAGGAGTTATGAAAGATGTAGCTGAAAATGAAGTTGAAATTGAGGATGTTCTCGTTGAATAGGATATCATCAATGAATAATAAGTCATGTTAGATCTCTGGAACTTATTAGTTCAGGGATGTGGTTTAGGGACCAATAAGTGACTTGATGATATGAGTTTTTCGATAATTTTATTATGGGTTTCTGTTTTTTTTTGGTTCACGTGTCTTAGACTCGAAACCATGATAAATCAAATAGAAATAATTATAATTAGATGAGGAGTTGTGAAAGATGTATTTGAAAATGAAGTTGAAGAAATTGAGGAGGTTCTGGTTGAATAGGACGATTTATGATGAATTTAATTCATCTGTCAACGAAAAACTGTGGATTCTCTGGAATCATTCGGTCGAATAACAATTGATGTTGTTTTCGCAGGTGGAATGCTACTGCTGCCTCCCACTGAGGATCACCAGCCGTGTTTTCGGCTGGTTCGCCAGTGTGGAACTCCCAAAAGACTTCAGACCATTTGTCTTCAATCTTTACGCAAAGACTTTCCACGCTGATCTCCAGGAAATTGACTCTGACCTTGCCTCGTTCCCCAGTCTCGTCGATTTCTTCGTGAGATCGTTGAAGGATGATGCAAGACCCATTGCTCAGAACACTGACATTGTGAGTGGATCATCAATTTTTTATTCAATTCTGAATGACACTAGTCTCGAAATTAATACTCGAATTAATTCACAAATCTAATCTTTCTTCCTCATAAATAAACCCTTTTTGCTTCCGAATGGATGCCTTGTTTTTGACCCATTTTTCGATTTTCTAATTTTGATTGCAAATGGTCTAGAATGTTATGAACCGTGAAGAAATTATGTTTTCAGACAACTTGAGCTTTTGATAATTAATTTGTGGAAAAATCAACATAAATACACGGAAATTTATAGATAAAAATCTGAAATTTTGGCTCATCGTAGCTATGATTGAGCTCAACTTTGGCGCGCTGTTTCAGCCCGATCGGTCCAGTAGTTCCCGAGATATAAAGAAAGAGACTAATGACGCAAAAAGTAACGGTCACATGCTTTTTGACGGATAAGCTCGAAGCCAGCTTGTTTCATTTCTGCACTTATCTCGATAACGAATGATTCTAGGAACAAATGTGTTAGAACCTTTTATATAGGTGAAGAATTTCTCTACAAAAAATTCCTTTTGACATTTTCCCCTAAAACCACTCATTATTGAAATAATTCAATTTGAAAAAGATATGAAAAATCATTTCGCTGTTCACTTCCCTTTTCTTGCTCCATAATTTTGTAAATTTCAACGAAATCAATCCGAGTAATTCCTAAATAAATGAAGTATAGGTCTCTCCCTCAGATGGAAGAGTCCTCCACATCGGCCCCGTCACTTCCTGTCGTGTGGAGCAGGTCAAGGGCATGACGTACGACCTCAGGCATTTCCTGGGTGACTCGAGGTCACCCAAACTGGGAGAGAAAATCCACTGTACAAAAGAGGATAACGATAATTACGTCAAGTCTCTTTTGAAAAACCCTGAAAACAAACTCTACCAACTGACTGTGTACCTAGCACCTGGAGATTATCATCGGTTTCACAGTGCCACAGATTGGAGGATCGATCTGAGGAGACATTTCCAAGGTTTGCAGCTTTATTTCACACATTGCCAATCTCAAATTCCCCAGAACTAAAAATTATTCGCAAGTCAAATGACAATTTTACTCCAGTTTTTATGATATTTGTGACTCAATGGAATCTATTGCATTAATTTATGTAGAAAGTGATTAATTATCAAGAAAATGATGATGAACTATCAATTTGTGAATTAATCAGCAATTTATTGATTAATTTCCAATTATTGATTATTAATTACTAGATTACTTTCTGAATTATGAATTACTTTTAGTGGATCATTAATTATTAAAAAAATCTAATGTTTAAATTATCTCGAAAAAATTGATGATTAATTATCAATTAGTGAATTAACCAGCAATTTATCCACTTATTTCCAATTATTGAGTATTAATCACTGGATTATTTTCTGAATTATGAATCAATATTGATGGATCCTTAATTATTAAGAAAATCCACTATTTAAAGAATTCATCAATTAATATAAAAAATCAGTCCATTAACAGTTTCTTCGACTAATCCTCACCTCATCTCCAATAACGACCTGATTTTCTTCTCCAGGAAAATTACTCAGTGTCAATCCAAAAATAGCGAGTTGGCTGCCAGATTTATTTTCCCTAAATGAACGTGTGGTTTACCTTGGAGAATGGTCTGGTGGTTTCATGGCGTATGCAGCAGTGGGTGCCACCAACGTGGGGTCGATAAAGGTATACTGTGATAAGACACTAGCAACGAATAAACGAAAGTGGCCCAAAGGGAAGGCCTGGGAGGACGCCAGTCTCGATTGTGTGAATGTCAAGAAGGGAGAGCTGTTCGGAGAGTTCAGGATGGGCTCCACTGTGGTTTTGCTCTTCGAGGCACCAGAGGACTTTCAGTTTTCGGTGGAGGCTGGGCAGCCCATCAAGGTGGGACAGGGCCTGACTCAGGGCTTCGTCGAGCTCAGGAGGAGGAGGAAACAGATTGATTTGAGCCGAAGTGTTAATGAGGCTGTTGAACGTATCACACCTGCTGGCCACGTGAATTGAGGGCAATTGGCTGATTGAATTCATGTCTTTACAACTTTTATAAGAATATTTCAACTAATAGCATTTTAACTACGATTTTTTAACTTCTAAAACTTGAATTAATTTATTAATTTATTAATTTATTAATTTTGTATCCTCAGGGCCACTGCGCCAAGTTCTGTTAGCCAAGTACAGGGTGCCGTCAGCACGTTGTTCACAAATTTCAGACATATCGAAGGGAAAATCGGGAATTCAATGATACGAAAATTACTAAATTCCATTAATAGACATTCAAATGGTGAACATTAGAATTTTTCAATGCTTCAGCCAATTACATTGCGATTGACTACCGCCATGATTGGAAACAATGACGCAGTTATCAATGGGACTTGATATGATAGTTAATAACGCTTTTCTAACGCAATTATTGAGACGCAAAAAAATAAAAATTGAAAATTTTTTGCTCATTGTTGAAAATGCAATAATTTAAATGAAATCAGTTAAAATGTCGTAGTTGGAATGTTACCTAGTTGAAAGGACGTGCTACCAGGTGACGACGATAGGGGAGAGGGGAGGCATTACGGGTAAACAGTGAATGTTCAAGTTTTGATGGAAAACAATGGATTCGGGAGGTGAAATGCTGGTTTCTCGGGTTTGGAGATTGCCTGCGAACGAAAATTTTGTCTGAATATCTGATTTTTTTCATTCGTAGAGAACTGATGTTTGAAGACAAATGTCTAAAAATATTTTTTGTAGAGAATTTCATAATTTATGAAACATATCTCTTCAGTTTTTTTAGGTACAAAGTATTTTTGGATGTATCTCAGTGAATAATTGTCTGGGAACGAAATCTTTTTGTGAATATCTGATTTTTCTTATTTTTGAGAATTGATGTTTAAGGGAAAATGTACTGAAATAATTTTTATAGAGGATTTCTGAATTTATGAAGTTTTTTTTATAAAGCCGATAGTTTATGAAATATTTATGAAATAGTTTTGAATGTGTCTCAACGGGAAATCCTCTGGGAACAGAATTTGTTTGTCAATATCTGACTTTTTTGGCTTTCAAAAACTGATGTTCGGCAGAAAACATAAGAGATATTTTTTATGAAAAATTTCGTAGTTTACGAAACAAGTGTCTTGGGTTTTGGAAAAATCCGCAAAGTATTTTTGAATAAAAAATTGAAAAACAATAATAATTTTGGGTCTAGAGTGTAAATATGTCTGAAAAGAGTTGGTGCAGGGAAAAAAACCAGGCCCATTAAATTGACACATTTCATCCCTTCAATCCACAAAAACTATTTGTAAATACATAAGTAAGTTTTATTATACTGAAGTCTGTATCAAATGCTGTAAATATATCTTGTTAATCTTTACCACTCCATCTAATTGTTACCCTCAACAATTCTCCGGAAATGGTGCTATAGTCACGTGATGGAGTCATTTTCCAGATAAAACTCATGGGAAAATCGAGTCACATGATCCAAGGACTTTTGAAACATACATCATATACCACAATCACTGAGCATTTAATCACCCCTGCATGACTCCAATAACTGAATGGCCTTTGCAGACTCGACTTTCAGGCGCCAGTTTCACTTCGATCTCGTTTATTCGTGAATATCTCCGAATCCAAATGCAATACGTAAATTTTCATATGAACTCTTTTTGCAGCTAATCAAATTCTCTACAAAAAATGCTCTCACAACAATTTCACCATCTCCCATAAATTTCGATAAATTCACCAAAAACGAAAGTTCGTTTTTTGTTTAGGACCAAAATTTTGGAATTTTCCATTTCCATTTTGGAATTTTCAAAGAAAAATGAACATGAAAAATCACTGAAAATTCTTTAGCCAGATTTTTCCATAAAGTGGTTTTCAATTTTGACTCCCTCCCCTAACAAAAAACAATAATAATTGAAAAAATTAAAAAAAATACTCCGTGGACATCAAAACCATTGGCCAAATCGATCACCAGGCATTAATGGTGCTGTCAAATTATCCGTCCCACGACATCGTGGCTGTCTACAATTATAAATAATTTATAATTTCAACTACGCCTGAAGTTTCAGACGAACCACGTCAACACAACCCCAGTTGAATCGAGAATGTTCCACTGACCTGCTTATGCCCAGCAGCTGACCGCAATGCTATCACCACCAATTACTCCTCCCTCCCTCGTATTTCCCACCACATTTGTTTTTCCTTCTTCATTTTGCGCTAGGTTAGCTGCTATACCCACTGTTTAAGGGCTGTAGTTGCTGCGTGTGAGGAAGGGGTGGGATTGTGGGCGTCGGGGGATACTCAAGACCATATTGGTCAGGTACATCGCGTGTTGAATTTATGCCAGGTTCACAGATTTATTTATAAGTTGTTGAATGCCTGAGAGGGTGGGGAATTTGATCACTAGGGTATGGGCTGATGGGGTGTAGAGAGATATTTTTAATGGGATTCGATTGTTATGGGGACGGCTGCATCGATTATTTCGGGGATCGATGGAGGTGAGGACACGTCGGGAGGCCTGTCAATGTCCCTCGGATATTTGATTTTTCATCCGACGATGGCCAATTTTGTTGATGATGAAGGACTAAATATTGGTCGCCACTTAAATATTGGTCCCCGCATAAATGTGGGATACCCTCTTAATCGGGAAGCCAGTAATATACAGGTCATGGCTTGAATATTGGTCACCGCCTAAATATTGGTCCTCGCATAATTACAGGTCATCCCCTAAATTAGGGAGCCACTCAAATATAGGTCTCGTCTTGAATATTGGTCGCCACATACAAAGTGGTCCGCATTTACGGAATAGGTCATCGCCTTTATATTCGTCATGGCTTAAATGTGGCGTCGGAGATACTCAAGACCATATTCGGGCAGTTACATCGCGTGTTGAATGTTTGAGGAAGTGGGGAAATTGATGACTAGGGTATGGACAGATGGGGTGTGGAGAGATATTTTTTATGGCATTCGATTGTTGTGGAGACGGCTGCATCGATTATTTGGCGGATCGATGGAGGTGCGGACACGTCGGGAGGCCTGTCAATATCCTTCGGACATTTGGTTTTTCATCCGACAATAACCAAGTTTGATGATAATGACGGACTAAATATTGGTCGCTTCCTAAATATCAGTCTAAATGTAGATCAACCCTTAAATCGGGAAGCCACTCAAATATAGATCTCGTGTTGAATATTGGCCGATACCTAAAAATTGATCCTGACCTAAATGTAGGTCATCGTCGTTACATCGGTCACGGCTTGAATGTTGGTCTCCACATTCACATTGGTTCCACCTCCATCAAGTCACCGCTAAATGTACAGCGATCTACAGATCGCTATCTAAATATAGGACTGAATATAGGTCAGGGCCTAAAAATTGGTCCTCATCTAAATGCATGTGACACCCTAAATATAAGTCATTACCTGAATATGGATTGCCATCTGGATGTAGTCACCAACGAAATGTAGGTCAGTGCCTAAGAATTGATTCTCACCAAAATATAAGTCACGTCTTGAATATTGGTCACCGCCTAAAAATTGGTCCTCACCTAAATTAAATCACGGATTAAATATAGGTCGCAAAAAAAATGCCCGAAAATTTAAATCCATAAAAACCAGTAAAAAGTGGTTTTAATTGGAAAATTATGCTGCGAATAATCATTATCTCACCTGTGCTCCACCCCACTGAACCGGAAAATTACCGTTAATCCCATAACACCGAATGCCGCCAAACAAAAATGTCATCATATAACATGATCATCAACCCAATTACGTAATTCTGCGCGTCCGGGGATAATTGCATTTTACTCCGCTGATGAAATTATTTATCTTGGATAATAAACTCTCGTCCCATTCTCATCTTACCTCCATTCACAGATAAATAAAGCGCTATGTAACGCGACACTCGTTACAGGTCCGCAGGCAATTTAAAGTTTGAGTGCAGTGGAATGTCTTGAGGAAATTGAAGAAATAAATTTAGAGCGAGGGGAATCAATGAACGAAAATAGGAGTTATGGGATTAGGTATTTAACTCGAGCAAATGTATACTGTGAATTTTAGTTCTACTAATGATGCTGGTTTGGGGGTGTTTTATGACGTGTGGAGATGAAAGTATCTTTGAGATTTTAGTGAAAATTGCGATGTTTCTGTGAAATTTGTCACGAAAAAAATTATTTTTGTTTTAAATAAAAATGTTGAAAAATTTCACGAAAATATTGTAGTTTTCGCTAAAATTCAGGAGTAAATTCTCAATAATTTTTACAATAATTTGTACTTATCGGGTAATAAATGGAATTACCTGGCTAATTAATGAATTTGGGGAAAATGTCAAAAGACTTTTTTTTTGGGGGAAATTTTCTCGTCGACAAAAGAGATCTTTTAACATTTTTTTTCGTACGATGACTCGTGTAGGGGAGAACTGAGGAATTAAGGAGACCGTGCGAAATCGATTTTTTCGTTCTGCTATGTTTTACCACTTTATTATTGAATCATTGCTCCACTGTACTTTTTTTAGAGCCATTGTAATGAGCGCTTGCTCTCGTTCATACACATAGACGTAATATCGATCGCTGTACTTGGAAACTTGTTGCTATTCAAGTTGAATTTAGATCTCTTGTCTCGATTTTTTTTAGTTTTGTTTTCGTACTGGGGTGGAGGCCTTAATCATGTGGGCTCTGTGAGAACAGGTCCGCTGTTTGTTAATTGGAAATAAATATTTTATCTTCGGGCTGATGTCAGGAATATTTAGGGAGAATACGTCAATTTTACTCGACATTTATTTCTGCTGACTAGGAGTTTCAAGCGATAAAATTTTCATGAGAAGCTTTTTACGTATGTAGCTCTCATTTTGGTCTACAGGAGGCGGGAAAAGAGAGAAAAAAAATCATGTGCTCAACAAAACTAGCTTCAACTAAAATTCCCACCTCACATCTCAATTGCAGAGCATTTCGAATGAAAACTCGGACACTTTTATTTCATTCTCTCAGAACCCATTAAACCGTTCGTTTTTTCCGCAGTGCAGTGGAGAGAATCAAATAAACAGGGCAGTATCCCTGTGAGATTAAGCTGTCGCTTTCGGGGAAGTGTGCGAGCGAAATGAAAAAATTACAGGCAAACATGTGGGAGTGGATTGGTGTTGCGCCCCCTCTTTAACGAGTTATTTTTCGAAATGTGAATAGTGTGGGTCAAGGATTTTCCATTAATTATGTCGGTGTTTCGTCAATGCACTTAAAGGAATTCCGGATGTCAAAGGTGCGAGGGAATGCTCCGGGCGACGTGGAATGAAAACATAACGAGGGTGCTTGTAGTTGATAACGCTAATCCTCGATGTGCGCGGCGTTACCCTTCGCTGAGGGTCTTTATAGATCGTGGAGTACAAAGGATATTCTCAACTGGCCATTAACTCGAAATTATTAAGCTGCTAGAACGTGAGACTGGAGTTGTTCGACGTGAATCTATAATCAATTTTGAAATTGGAATGAATTGTCAGAGGAGAAGGTCATTTTTATTTCTGTCAAAATCCAGGATTGATGACAAATGATGATCAACCTTAATTGGAAATATAACTGGATAAAATATAAAATCATCGGCGACGGTGGCCGAAGCGGTTAAATCGCTCGGCCGGGCGGCGGGACAATCCAAAGGATTTTCGTTAAATCGACTTTTCGATTAAAAAAAAATTAAATCCCTAATTTTGAGTGGCCGGAGACAATGTTGACCGAAAAAATCAGATTCCTGAGGTAAAATCGCGCGGAAAATAGTATCTTTTAATTTTTTATTCTTGAAAACCGAAAAAAAAAATCACCGGAGGCACTTCCCCTCAATGGAGACGCGACAAAATGGTACAGATCCGCATGACATCCTCCATCGAATGCTCTCCACACATAATGTCAATTGACTCAACCTCATCTCAATCTCAAAGCTATCGTCTCTATTTAGTCTTTTGGCGTCCAGACGATTTGACCCTTACGATTCCCCCAAATTCATGAAATCACTCAAAGTCAACTGCAGTCGTCACCAGTCAAGATTGATAACAAAGGTCCAACTTCCTTGAAAATATGACTACATAAAATATAAATTAATACAAACAAAAGTCAGTTTCACCTCTTCAATACCGAAACAATCCTGCAAAATTTGAGAAATCTCGTCAACGAGATCCACAAAAAATAGAGTTGCGCGAGGAGAAGTTGCGCAGTTGTATCCAAGCACGCGTGCCGTTGCGACGTGCCGCAGTGAGCGTCCCGACGCCGATGACGCAGGTTTCCCGAGAAAATTGACTTCCGTTCGAGCGCGAAATCCGCGAACCCCTGACAAGTGATCATTAACTCAAGCCATTATTCTCGTGTGAGATGTTAGATGGATGCTGATGGTCATTTTCGGGTGACGCTGTCCGTCAGGAAGGAGCCTGGAGCCGGTCCCGTCTTCTGCAAGATGGAGACCTCAGCGAGATTCAGACAGCTGAAGACAGTGAAACTCAGCTGCGAGTCCACGTACAGACTGGACATCAGCTTCAAACCCCCGCAACTGTTGCAGTAGGTATACAGCTGTGTAATTATCAATTATTTACACACTATCGATCATCCTGGATTGTGATTCGACCCTCACCAAATCCCTCGAATTTATTAGATCATTTGAACTCTGTCAGCGTCACGGGATCGTGTTGCATGAGGTTTGGAATCAATTTACACCGCACGAAGAGAAATATTCAGTAATAATTACGGAACAATTCATGTAATCCACAATGGGGAATCGTTTTCCGGCAATTTTTATAGGAATGGAAGAGAAGAAATCTGAAACGTTCACACTGAGAGGAATTTCAATGGTAATTTCAACTACAAGGGAATTGTCAAAATAATAATAGTTACGGTAACAATAAATATTGTAGATTCAACTATTACATTAAAGTGAAAATGACATCATAATGTGGATGACACTATTTGACATAGTAAATCGAACGATGAATCCTAGTTTAATCTACAAAGTTTATTGTTACTGTAAATATAATTTCTTTGACAATTTCCTTGTTGTTAAAATTACCATTGAAATTTTTCTCAGTGCAGTGAATTTTCAGACTCATCACCGAACAAAGTACGAAATTGTCGCGTAATTTTTCCCGAAGAAGTAAATTCTTACAGAAACTTCCCGACTTATTGTGCCTCCAAAATCAAAAATTCTTGAACGTTCAACAATTTTTATGAAGCTGGTGAGTTATTTCTACGTTCAGTTCCGAAAAACTTCTCAATCGTTGGTGAAAATGTACAGAACGACTTGTTGTCCCCACAGCGGTGAGTCATCAGGCGGGTGGTTAATTTTGACGGAACAAATCGTCGAATTTACGTGGCGATTCGTACAATTTCAGCTCCGACTCACACTTTTTATTGAATTTTACTTCGCTCATGGATTACGTTTCGAAACGTAATTTTTACGTTTTTTTTTCTGGCAATTTTTATTGAATTTTTCTCTCTGTGTGGATTTCCTGATAGGTTCGTTGCAAACAAACGAAGGGGTCAAGTTGTTCCTGAAAAACCTGACGAGTTCGGTTGTATGCAGGAAACCTCGGGGGAAATACGTGATTGAGTTTGACACTTGAGTGGGATTCGGAAGAGAATTTTTCCATTCAAATTTCGGCCAAGAAAATTGCACTATGAGACGAAATCCATCTGTCAGTTTCAATGAGAGACTCACTCGACCAGGAAATCTTTTTTTTTCATATATATATCAACATGAAAAATTACCGGTTGAATTATCAAAAATTATCAGTTGAATAGCGAGTGAACAACATAAAATAACAGTCGAATAGTGGAATTCTATTGGCTGAAATTCGGATGGGAAAAATTCTCGTCTGAATGTTTCGTGCCAAATTCTGGAAATTTTTATCGTGTTCAAGTTCCATTGAAATTCCAGGAAATTTCTTTATTGAAAAATCAAATATCCCACTGATTCTGTGTTCAAATGATCTGGAAATCAATAAAATACTTGATTTTTCAGTTCAATTATTCTGTGGAAATTCAGAAAATTCAGGGAAAAACTGAAAATTTCTGTCATTTTATTTCTGAATATTCATGTTTTACTGAAAATTCAATCAAGTTGTGAAATTTCCAACTCACTCCCACTAAAATTCGTATCAATGTCACTCTCATGGGATTTACTATATCCTCTTAAATCATTGGAATGACGCTGTTATTACGCGAGGTCTACCTAATTTTGGGCAAGAGCCTGGAATTTTCGCTGGAGATTTAGGAGATTTGTTTCTTGCGCCCGTTAATCTTCACCTTGGCACTAAGTCGAAATTTATTAGTAGATTTTTTGCTGTCGTAAACTCACTCCGGGGGATCCTAGCAAAAACTAGTAAAGATTCAGGAATTTTCTTTATCAACTTTTGTTTTTACAGGTCGAAGAAATACTTAATTAATGTGACTACTAATTCAAATGCTCATAGAACCTCGCATGATTAATTCAAAAGTTTCGGGAGCTGCTCATTAGTGAAACAGTAATCAAGATCAACGAATGGAATTGCGTTTGAAATTTCTCCAATTGGAAAGAACAAATAAATTAGTTAATTTTGGGGATTTTGTATTTTCTGGAGAATTATTTTTGTAGAGAATTAAATTTATAAATCCCCTAAATATTGAAAAAAATAATAATTTAGTAGATTTTTTGCTGCCGTGACCTCACTCCTGGGAACTTTAGTACATAAAAACTAATAAAAATTCATGGACTTTTTTCATCATTTTTTGCTAGTGGAAACTCGCGCATGATTAATTCAAAAGTTTCGGGAGTTACTCAGTAAAACAAGAATGAAAATCAACGAATTACATTCGAAATTTCTGCGCCTCGAAAGAACACTAATTAGTTAATTTTGGCGATTTCGTATTTTCCCGAGAATTATTTTTGTAGAGAATAAAATTCCTCACGCAAAAATCCCCCAACATTTTCCCCCACAACCACTCATTACCAAAAGGATTCCATTTTCACCAAAAAACCCTAACGAAAACACAAAAAACAAATCCAAAAAAAAGACCAAAATTCAGTGAGAACTAAAACAGAATAAAATATAGAACAAAACGCCTGGAGTAATCCCCTAAAAACACAAAACTACAGAAAAATCTCGTTAACAAAACGATGAAATCACGCGATCAGCGAGTTTGAAATGCAAAAACCCAGTACAAATGCACGTTCACGCTCAACACGTCCCACAATCTCACCTCGTAAACATTGAGCAGCGGATCCGCAGCGAGTATTGCACTGATGGGAATGGATAGTCGCGAGAACAGTAACAGCTGGTTAAAAGTGAACTTATGACCTATCCAGTGCAGGCCCAACGTTCCCCGTGCACCTTCAACCGTGTGCTATAACTCCGCGAAGGTCATGCGTCGAGATACTATTATTGTTATTCCGGGATTTGGCTGTGACCCAAGATTATGCTGCTCAAATTTTTCCTCTCATGAGTTTGCGGAGAATTGTGGACACCATTAGGGACTTGGCGATTGGGTTTTGTGGGGAGGATCATGTGGGCGTGTTCCAGATTTTCAAGTTTTCGAATTGGCTTATAACTCGCTGGAGTTGTTGACAAGGAGAATTATCTCTGTACGAGTTGTTCTGGGGGAAAATGTGCAGAAGATGTTTTTGGGGAGGAGAAAATTTTCTTTAGAAAATGTATTGAGGTTTTCTCCTAAAATCAGCCGTTGTTGAGACAATTGGGGTTTCGTAAAAAATTTTGTTAGGGATATCCAAGTGCTCTGGCTATTTTTTCTCCAGTGAAATGCTTTTCTACTTTTGTAGTCGAACAGCACAAGTTTTACAATGATTTTATTATTCAAACGTTACAGTTCTCAATTTGAATCTCGATATTGATCCGTCAGAAAACATTTTTAAAATCCGAAACAAGTGGGAAGTGGCTCTTGTATTGCACATCGTATAGTTATTTTTATTAATATTTAATATTATATAGTTATTTTTATTAATATTTAATATTATCGCACATGATTTCCTTCTATCATGTATAATTCATTGTTTATTCCTTTTTATTAAATTGAATAAGATTTTCTTTTACCTAATTTTTTCAGATTTTCAAATTAGTTGAATGTTATCAGCATCATTATTCTCATTATCGATTTTCTTCTATACAATCGATTGTCTTCTTTATGATTCTATCTCTCCCCTCAGCCCTTCGATAAAATGTTAATAAAGATAGCGAAATTTTCAATCGGCTCTACAAAAAAGATTATAAAAAAAATTTTGCTATCTCCCTCAGATTCCGAGATATTTATTAAGAACAGGTCGATAGTCAAAATTGACTTATACCGTTTTACCACTTCGCTACTGAATTCAATCAAAAAAATTACTGGGACGTTTTGTTAATTTTGAAATTCTCCTCTTTCTCAAAAGCAAAGTAAAAGATCATCCCAACAAGAATATTCTGGAGAATATTCATTGATTATTCACGCCAATCCATAATAATGAGAGGAATTAATTCACCAGACGCACAGATGATGTCCCATTTAAAATAAACAAATGGGAAATTGCTCTTGTAATGTATACAGTTATTTCGTACTTTCAAAAAATTCAAAATTATTGAAAAATTTCGAATAAATCAAAACGATTACTGCCATCGCTTTCAATCAAACTAAATAAAAAACTAATAGATGAATTAAAATTTAATTAATGGCGATTGGTACTATATTTTTGGATTACACTGGGCCGATGTAACACAAGAAATCCAAAATTTAATTTGAACGATTACAAAGCTTCCATTCGGAAGCAAAATTTTTTAATTTTTAATTTTTAATTTTTACTTCCGTCCCTTTAATTTCCAACTCCAAAAGTTTCGTTGTTCATATCTGATGGCATTAAAACATCAAAGACAGTCTCTGATGAAAGACGATAAATATCCCAGAGGTATCAAACTCCCCCTCATTACTGAGAATGCAACGCTGATACCTCCCGCGTCCGCCTCAACGCGTGGAGTTACTACTGCTGATGATCACCGAGACAGAAGTTTCACTCCAGCTCGTTTATATCCATTCCCCCAGCTATTTAAGCTGGGCTAATAATCTCTATAATGGTCGGTTGTACTCATTATTTAGGAGATATGCCCAAATGTACAGGAACATGCCCGTCGGGCGTTAATTAACTGCGCGAAGTTTGAATCAGACTCGGAATTCGTTGCAGATACCTGTGAGGTTGATATTTAGTTGAACACTGTTAGCAATTTTTTTAATTTCACGGAAAATATGATGGTAATTCTCATGAGAGTGACATTGCATCGAATTTAGAGGAAAATGGTTATGAAATTTCAAGTTTTAGGTAGAATTCGAAGAAATTCATGAGTTTTCTGTGGAAGGGAGATGGAAATGTCACAGCTTCATTGAATTTTCAATGGAACATGAATATTCAGAAATAAAATGACATGAATTTCCAACTTTTCCCTGAATTTTCCTGATTTTTCTGAATTTTCACGGAATAATTTCACTGAAAAATCAAGTATTTTATTGATTTTCAGATCATTTGACCGGAAAATTAATGGAATATTTGATTTTTCAATGACAAGATTTTCTGAAATTTATGTGGAAATTAAACACGATAAAAATTTCCAGGATGTGGCACGGAAAATTCAGAGGAAAATGTTGTCGTACAATAGATTATATTTTTTCCTGCCAACAGTTCTTCTCGGGATATTTCTGATGATCACGACAAACATTTTATTTCAGAGAAATATATTAGATTCCCTTGTATCAAGTTCAACGTCTTCAATATGAAAATTTCAAGCTCAAACTCCTCAATATGAATATTTCTCAAGTTGATTTCAATTTAATAAGGCTCGACCAACTTTTTAAATCTTTAAAATCGACTGATATCTCTTCATCATGAACAGTTGAGGGGAATTCTCAAATTGAGAATCTTACGAATATTCCACGTGATTTAACTAGAAAGAAGAAACCCCACGGGAGTCTATGTAAATTTGAAAATCATTCCGCTTGTCTGGCTCTCTCAAGCCGACAACATATTTTCCGAGAAACCCCCACGAGGCCTTATTGAATCGTTTATCCTTGGGAACATAAGAAAGAGAGGTAATAAAAATGGTATGCGGGGTTCATAGAGATATTCAACCAAACAGTTCCCTCCCGGGAGATGGGAAATCCTTGAAATTCGCTGTATTGTTTTCAATTCAAAGAAAAATCCGTCGACATTGGCAACTCCTTGTAAACATGACGGGAGAAAATATAAAACCATAGGAATAAAAGTCACGTAGACTTTGGGTATCGGTAATGGGCAGAATTGCTCTCGATCTTATCGATGAGGAGAGCTCAATCGCGATCTAGCTCTCCTCATCGATCACTGACTCATTCCCAAACTCTCTCGTCTCAGAATACTCTAATTTCTTCCTTCGTTACCTAGCACTCTCTCACTCACATCTATACTCATTCTGTATACTCTTTGTCACCCACAATAATCTCTTAAATTCCGTTCCCAGGCCCCACGCATCCCTCAAAACCTCCACCTCGCATAAACATTCTCATTTTCCAAACTGTCACTCGCTCCAAACGCTTCTCATACACGGAGAGAAATTTTTGATAAAAAGTATCCGACCGTTTTATAAAAGTGTATCGTGAGTCATCGTTTCCTCATTTCTATCCTGAAATTTAGTCAAAATTAATATATGATGATCAAATTTTATTCTACGTTAGAGAAATTTTATCCTGCCGCATAATAAACTTTACCCTTCCAGTCCAATAATTTTTATGTAGATAAAAACCAAAATTCTAGAACCGTTGGTAAATTTTAAGGTACCGGTACAGTAATTTTTACTCTACTGGAACGGTAATTTTTATTTTCATCAGGATAAAATTTCTCTAACGTAGAATAAAATTTGATCATCATATATTAATTTTTATTAAATTTCGGGATAGAAATGAGGAAACGATGACTCATGATACACTTTTATAGAATGGTAGGATAATTTTTATCGAAAATTTCTCTCCGTACATCCCACCTCAATTCCATAAACTCAGTCTCAAACCTATCGTCTCTATTTAGTCTTTCTGATCTGATTCATTGATTTGTCCAGACGATTTGACACGGAGAGAAATGTTCAGTAAAAATTACGGAACTTACAATTCGCTCACCGATTACGGAATCGACTCAGGAAATTTAAGTGACGGTATCGTAATTTTTCACAGGAGATTCAGATAAAAATTTCGGAAAGCTCTGAAAAAATTCCGTGACAGGTCCGTAAAATTTCCTACAACCACATTTCGCTCCGGAATTACGGAAAAGATAGGTAAATTTTATTGAATATTTCTCTCCCTGGACCCTCACGATTCCCCCACATTCATGAAATCATCCGAAGTCAATTGCACTCCGACCTTACGGGCCAAAAATGCCGCTATCACAGAAATAGAGAGAAAAATTGTTTCTCTTTTTTTTCCTATGAATAAATTACATCATAATGTCCAGTCATAGACAAAGTGTTGATACAACCGTTGAATATCGATCAGACTTGGAGATGACCCACAAGAGAGTGCATTTGATCGTAACCACCACGTGTCCGCCGCCCACGATATTCATCAACGATCATCCTCCTTCGCTTTCTCAAAGAGTGCATCACACGTCGCTCGTAAAACTTGCAACGATTTCGGAGGTATCGACTGCTGTCGAAACTCGTGCAGATGTTGCATCGCGTGTTTATATAATTGAAGTTGAAAATTGGTTATCGCGGGGGGAAAATTGCTCGGAGCATTGGCTCTGGAAATTATTTCTCGGGGTGACCTACAAACAAATACTTAAACTTTTTTTCATTGTGCAAATAATGAGAATGTCAATAAATGCAAGTAAATGGGCTTTTCAGGTATTTGAAACTTTGCGCGGGATCGAGAGCCACGTGTTCGCAATTCATTGCGGGCATTGGTAAAAATTCATGAATTTATTCAATTAAGAGTAGCCGATCTTTTACAATTTCGTAGACTGCACAAATTCATTGTTTATAAATAAATGATTGAAGTCGTTTAAACTTTCGGGAAATTTTCGGGAAACATTTTTTACGATTCCGAAGAAATTATTTTTTTGCTGGAAAACTGATTGTTTATAAATTGTTGATAGAAAATGCTCGTAATTTTAAAAATTGCGATTTTTAAATTATTTCATTAATCTTTCTCCACAAGTAAACTTTCTAATTTTTTTTCCAAATTTTTTAAATGTTTTCTAACGCTTCAAAATCGAGATTCAAATTCAGACTTGCAAAACTTAAATAATAAAATCATGGTAAAATTCGTAAACAGAGGATTAAATGGGGCTCAAATAAAAGCTTTGATGTTTCACTACAAAAGTAGGAACCCATTTCACTGGAGAAAAAATAGCCTAAGTACTTGGATATCCTTAAAATAGAATTTTTTCAACTCGGAATGTTACACGGAGAAAAATATTCAATAAAAATTACGTATCTTTTCCGTAATTCCGGAGCGAAACGTGATGGTAGGAAATTTTACGGAACTGTCACGGAATTTTTCCGGAGCGTTCCGTAATTTTTATCTGAATCTCCCGTGAAAAATTACGATACCGTCACTTAAATTTTCTGAGTCGATTTCGTAATCGGTGAGCGAATTGTGAGTTCCGTAATTTTTACGGAACATTACTCTCCGTGTAAAGAACACTTTGTATCACGTTCTGCCAAAATTCACTCATTTCCCAAGTAATAAGAAAATAATTACCCAAAAAAATAACTATAGCGAAATTTCACCCCCATTAACTGTGCGATTATCTGCATAATGACTAGCTTTACGAAAAAATGTGACAAATCACTTTTTGTAGCCAATAAAATTCTCTACAAAAAGTGCTTTTTACATGTTCGCCTAAACCCACTCATTCTCAAAATAATCACACAAATCTCGGAACATAATATCCATATTCGGTCGAATGAAGGGGCAATAAATTCTCTGGTAGCCGGGCCAATGGTGCAATTTCCGGCGGATGTTCTTCGACAAATATGCGGACATTACGTAGAAAGCTTGGTGGGCCGTGATACTATCCCTGGAGGATGCAATAAAGTTGGAAAATGAATTGTCAGAGGAGGAAACTCACTCGTCACATAGTTCCCATCGATTTGCGGTGCATCGGTACGTGCTAACTGTAATGCGCATCGCTGGATATGAATGATATCCGGGGCTTCTCATGCAAATTCAGGGATAATAGTGGAAATTTTTGATGAATATTTCGGTCTGGCGGCACCATTGATTTTATGGTAATTTTTCGGGGAGAGATACCTGTGGATAAAACTCACTTCACTTACGTTCGCGAGTTTTCGGAGGTAATGAAGCTATATTCGCATGTGATTTATCATATTTTGAGGAAATTTAGATGTGAGTGGAGGAGAATGTAAACATTTCAAAGAGTGAATTTTTTATGGAGACACTTTTTACTTCCGAAGGGAAGCCTTGTTTTTGACCCACTTTTGGATGTTCTAATTTTTATTGCAAATGGTCTAGAATATTATGAAACGTGAAGAAGTGATGTTTTTAGGGTCACGTCTGTGTGTATGAGTCCGACAGCTTGGGTTTTTGGTGATTACTTTTTAGAAAATTCAACATAAATACGGTGAAATTTGTAGATAAAAATCAGAAATTTTGGATCATTGTAGCTATATACTGAACACGTCTTTCTCGGGTGTCTCGATAAATTTCAAGTTGTAGATAGAATTCAAGCAAATTCATGAGCAAATTCATTTCTGATTTTTTGACCCTTATGTAGACCCTTAATCTGACGCATATGACCCTTAATTTGACTCTTGTAACCCTTAATCTAGACCTTTTCAACTTTATTCAGATCCTCGTGACCCTTATTCTGACCCTCATGACCCTTATTTTACCCTTATGACCCTTAATTTTGGAGTCTTAATTTCGAGTACCAAATTTTCATCACCAGACATCGATTTGGTTTTTTATAATATCAAGAGCCTCAAAAGAATAACGAAGAAAGCCATTACCGCATTTTTTGTTTCCCCCATAACACTGTTAGAAAATTACTCTTGAAAATTCAAGTAAAAAAGCTTGAAACTTTTAACAACGACAAAGTTATACGAAACTTTATTGAATATTCACGTAATTGTCGCTGTCCAGGTCCATACGGCGCTGAAAAACCTTGAAAATTTTGAAAATGCAGGCAACAACTGTTTTAAATTCTCAATCTATTGAAAATTGAATTGTATGCGATGTTCACCTTTCACGATGAGTTTGGAAATTCAGGCTTTCATTGAACAATCAATGATTATTCAACATGAAAAACCCAATTTTCTTGAATTTTCAAGAGGAATGCAAAATTTAGTGAACACTTTCATTTGAAATTGAATGCAACCTCACAACATCGAAAATTCAGATGACACTGACTGAAATTTCAGGAAATTTTCAACAGCGCAGTTATGTTTCGAACAAATCTGTCGTCAAGCCTGATTAACAATCACCACGAGCTATTTTCGTTTTTCAGATCCCTCAGCATTGGTGGAAAACCAGTTGAGGCGATAGAACGTGCGCGTGACGGCACAGCTTGCGCTTACAGCGCGTATTACAGCACAAAGGACGTGACACCGTGCACACGTGGCCATCGCGAGGAGTTACCGATTGCAATGCGGGTCCTGGCCTCTGGCTACCTCACCACCTGCCTCCAGATCAAGTATTACAAGCCCGACGACCACAGCCACTGCGAATGGGGCTCGAGATTGCACTGCATCGAGCTCGACTGCTCGAGTGTCGAGGGCAGGCTGGTTACAGTGGACAAGGAGACATATCGGAAACTCGGAATCGAGTCTTAGCATTTGGTGAATGAGCCTCTGACACCAGAGTCCGGTGACAAGATCTTTATGTTTGAAAATCAGTGGTGGAAGTTCACTTGAGCGTCACGTTCTCTGTTTTTCTTCGAGCTTTTCGGCTGCTCCGCTGCGGATTGGGGATCGTGTCGATGATAATTTGGCCGAAAAATAATTACTATTGTACTGAATTTCACGGTGTGTGAGCAAATATCAATTTTGGTGGAATGAGGAATTGTAAATGTTGTATTTTATGGAGGTACAAATTTTAGGGAAATTGTCTTGTGAATATCTCGGCAACGAGTGGGTTTAGAGAAAAATGTCACTAAACATTTTTTGCAGAGAATTTCATAAGCTACAAAAAACAATTGTCACTTTTTCCTTTAAGTCTGAGATTTTTCGAGATATTCACGAAATACTCTACATCGAATGTTTTGAATGTTCAAATATAACTGTAAAACACTCGCAATTGTCTGAAAAACTGGGGCATTCGACGATAACTCGAACGGAAATTCATTATTGTTGAATTGAATTTCTTAAGGTGTGACAAAATATGAATTTTGTTGGAATGAAGAATTAAAAATGTTGTATTTTATGGATGTAAAAATTTTAGGGCGATTGTCTTGTGAATATCTCGGCAACGAGTGGGTTTAGAGAAAAATGTCACTGAACATTTTTTGCAGAGAATTTCATCAGCTACAAAAAAATAATTGTCACTTTTTCCTCTAAAACCAATAGTTTACGAGATACTCCCTAAATACTCCAAATCGAATGTTTTGAATGTTCAAACGCGACTGTAAAACACGCGCTGATTAATTCGTAATTGTCTGAAAAACTGGTGCATTCAGCGGGAAATGTCATGAGACATTTTCCTCTGATATATAAGAAGAATCCGGAATTTTCTATACCTCAATTTTCCTCGTTTCCTGATCCCGTATCTCTCCTACGCCATTACTCTCGTTCAATCGATGTCAATACATTTCACATCGACTGACTTGAAACTGATCACCTACTGATCTCTTCGACGATAATTCGAGGAGAAACTCATAATTATCGAATTGAATTTCATGACGTGTGATAAAATATGAATTTTGTTGGAATGAGGAATTAAAAATGTATTTTGTGGATGTAAAAATTTTGAGATTGTCGTGTGAATATCTCGGCAACGAGTGGGTTTGGAAAAAAATGTCACAAAACATTTTTTATAGAGAATTTCATAAGCTACAAAAAAGCTCTATCACTTTTCCCTCTAAAACCAATAGTTTTCGAGATACTCCCGAAATACTCCAAATCGAATGTTTTGAATGTTTAAACACAAGTGTAAAACACTCGCTAATTAATCCGTAATTGTCTGAAACACTGGTGCATTCAGCGAAAAATGTCACGCGGCATTTTCCCCTGATATATAAAAACAATCCGGAATTTTCTATACCTCAATTTTTCTCCCGTTCGCTGATTGCATCTCTCTCCTACGCTATTACTGTCGTTCAATCGATGTGAATACATTTCCCCTCGGTATTTTCATTTCCCCGTGACATATGTATCTTGTACATATTTCGATAACGTCATCTCCAACGAGTATACAAGGAATACCACTGATATTCTCGGTGAACATTTCGGTCTCCTGCGCAACCCAATTTACTCTAAGAAATAGCAGATACGAATTTAGGTATTTCGTGTTCGCCATTATCATACGTCAATACATGAACGTAATGAACATATCGATGTTGATCACTTGGATGAGGTTGAGTCAATTGACATGATGTGTGGAGAGCATTCGATGGATGATGTCATGCAGATCTGTACCATTTTGTCGCGTCTCCATTGAGGGGAAGTGCCTCCGGTGAATTTTTTTTTTCGGTTTTCAAGAATAAAAAATTAAAAGATACTATTTTCCACGCGATTTTACAAAATTTTTTCCCGAGACGAACCTCACCTTAAATTCAATATAAATTTAAAGTCACTTTGCAATTTATTATGTTTTATTAATATTTCAATTTGTTCATTCATTCGAAAAGAAGAAAAACATGTCAAGTCCATCCACGACATCTCCCTCATTAATTTCTATACCCATGACATCCTCCATGGAACTCATACCAGAATTAATCAATTAGTCACTCGCTTGTAGCGCTGATGAGCGAGCCGACCACCTAGTGCCTCTTTTCATGCTTAAAAATAATTTTTGTAAATCAAGAAGGAAAAACAATACTGAATAAGAAATATCGTTTGTATTTTTTGTATTTATTATGTTTATAAACAGGGATACACTCGCCATATTTCATCAGTATTTACACATATTCAAGTGAGATGTGAATACGTAAATAAAGTAATGTACATTTCGGTATTGAAATTGATAACTTGAGGTTTTCATTTTACCCCTGGACTCTGTTATTCGAGGAAATCCCTTTCTCTCGGAAATTGTATTTTTATAGCTGTCTGGTGCACTCCGAGAGTAATTTTCGCCTCCAGGCGATCCATTATTTTCATTCAATCGAGTTGAATTGCTCCTTTACAAAGTGGAAAATAATCTGGGGAACAAGTGGTTCTAGAGGAAAATGTCAAAAGACCTTTTTTGCGGAGACTTTCATCAACTGCAAAAAAGCTTCGTCAACATTTCGCGCTAGAACCACTCATTAGCGACCTATTTTCATGATTCTCAAAGCAAATTGAGGATTTTAATCGGTGAAAAGAGATGAGGCTTCAATTCTACGTCATCAAAGAAATTCGCATTCACATCTTCAAATCCTTCTTCATTACACCAAAGGGTAAGGATGTTCTTTCTCCACTTTCAAAATCAATACCCCATCAAGGAGAACCCTCCATTCCCCCAGCTATCCCTCGCATTTAAGATCAAAGCCTCCCGAAAGAATAATCCATGTCCATCACACCTTCGCCCCCTCCAAGAGCCTCTCCATGAGCTCTTTATCCTTTATCCCTCGTACCCTCTCCCTCATCCTCCTCTGCAGGCCTCCCTCCCCTCGCAAGAACCTCCCAGACTGATAGACCGCGATCGTGTACATCAACGGGCTCCACTCCTCCTTTACCGCCCCCCTGACGACCGCCGTCAGATACCCCTCGGACGAAAAACGGGGATTTCGTTGGAGAAGTCCAGACGCGTGTGAAGTTTCTTCAAGAAGGTCGGACTCACCTTCTTCAGGGGAACTGGGACGTTCTGGTCCAAATTTCACATCGTCAAAGGAAAAGTCTCGTTCACATATTCAAATACTTCTTCATTACACCAAGAGGATCCTTCCCCACCTCCAAAATGAATACCCCATCAAGGAGAACCCTCCATTCCCCCCAGCTATCCCCCGCATTTAAGATCAAAGCCTCCCGAAAGAATAATCCATGTCCATCACACCTTCGCCCCCTCCAGGAGCCTCTCCATAAGCTTTTTATCCTTTATCCCTCGTACCCTCTCCCTCATCCTCCTCTGCAGGCCTCCCTCCCCTCGCAAGAACCTCCCAGACTGATAGACCGCGATCGTGTACATCAACGGGCTCCACTCCTCCTTTACCGCCCCCCTGACGACCGCCGTCAGATACCCCTCGGACGAAAAACGGGGATTTCGTTGGAGAAGTCCAGACGCGTGTGAAGTTTCTTCAAGAAGGTCGGACTCACCTTCTTCAGGGGAACTGGGACGTTCTGGTCCAAATTTCACATCGTCAAAGGAAAAGTCTCGTTCACATATTCAAATACTTCTTCATTACACCAAGAGGATCCTTCCCCACCTCCAAAATGAATACCCCATCAAGGAGAACCCTCCATTCCCCCCAGCTATCCCCCGCATTTAAGATCAAAGCCTCCCGAAAGAATAATCCATGTCCATCACACCTTCGCCCCCTCCAGGAGCCTCTCCATAAGCTTTTTATCCTTTATCCCTCGTACCCTCTCCCTCATCCTCCTCTGCAGGCCTCCCTCCCCTCGCAAGAACCTCCCAGACTGATAGACCGCGATCGTGTACATCAACGGACTCCACTCCTCCTTTACCGTCCCCCTGACGAGCGCCGTCAGATACACCTCGATAAGACTCATATCATCCTCCCCAGGGTTTACATACTCCTCAATAGGAATCGGAAGCGTCTGCGGGGTCAGTCTGATGTACCTCAGAGCCCCCGCGTGCTCGGACCACAGGATCTTCCTGTAATACTTGTCATGCCTCTGCGCAACGAACGCCATCACCGCCGCGGCAAACCCATCATCTCCGTAAGAATTCGCGCAGAAGCCCTCGCACAAAGCTGCGAATAAATCCGGGAAGGAAGTCACCCCGGGAACGTCGTTGGAGAAGTCTAGACGCTTGTAAAATTTCGCCAAGAAGGTCGGAATCACCTTCTTCAGAAGAACTGAGACGTTCTGATCCAAGTGAATCCCGTCGCAGAGGTATATCAGGATCAGCCTGGAGAACCGTAACGTCGGCGAGAGGTCGTCGAACAGCTCCGGCATGGCTACCTCCAGACTCAACAACGTAATGATCCTCAGGGTGTCGGTTTCCTCCCATTTGATCTCTTCTTTATGACGCGTGTAGGACGCGACTAGGGGCAGGTAGGGCCAGTCCCTAGGAAGGACTGGTTGGTCCCATGATCCAGGGTTGATAAACCCTTCGTAGATCGCTGAAACATCACTCGGCAACTGAAAGCCCTCTTCACGATCTCCTGTCAACTTCAGAGAGTTCAACTCCTGCGACAAATTGGCCATGTTCAGTCTTTCGTTGGATATCAGCAGCTTCAGGAGATCCTTCGCTGGTCCTGGGGCGTCTGCAGGTAACGTCGACAGCAGCTTCATCCCGATCTTCAAGGCAGTCACCGGAGGCAAGCCATTTGGGAGGACCTTCATCGCCTTGATGAGTCCCGTCAGGAGATACAGCTCTGGTCTGGTGAACCAGCTGTTTCCCAATGACCAGTCACTGGTGCTGAGTCTCCTGAGGTACTTCATGACGTACGGATTACTCAGGATGATCATCAACTCGTTCGTCATCGAGTGGTTGTAAAGGAGATTGATGGCAGTGGAAAGGAAGAGAGTGCAGGAGTTGAAGGCAACAATCGGTTGTACCTCTCCTCTTTCGGTTAGAACTCCTAGAGCGGGAAGGGATTCAGGGTTTCTAAGGGCTGTCGTCCGCCCACTGAGGAGATTCGAAGCTAGGATTATTCCTTCAAAGATCTTGGGGTTATTGACCCATTCCGTTCTGAAGGAAGAGATGTCCTTCACGGAAGTTAATGTGGTTGACACTAAGTTTGTGCTGCTCCAAGTGGGAGATGAGAGATTCCTCAACTGTGTACTCCATTTGGCTAACAATGTAGCTAGCACCGGTTGAAGTGTCGGTTCATAATTGGCGACTGCGACCAGTCCTGCTGCGTGTTCTGAAGCTAGTTCAGAGGCCTGAAGATCGTGATTGGTTAGGAGAAGTTGAAGGTGGGAGCCCAGAATCAATCTCGCTCCTCCGACTGTCTCTGAGGAGACCCCCTGGGATAGGAGAGTCTTCCAGAGGCGGAGGGCCTCTATCGACAGACGGAGGCCTGCCTCACCAGGTTCGCTTGTCACGTAAGACAACAAAGAGTTGACTATCTTGAGGTCGTGAAGACGATCGGCCACCGGTTTTCCTCCGTATTCCACAAGAATCCTCAGGAGACGAAGGGCTGTGACGTTAGGAGCATCGTAAGCTGTCTTCAGGTCCTCCAGGTTCATCAACCTATCAGTGGTCAGCGGCACAAAGTGTCTTACAATGATGGACAAGAGGTTCGGCGTGCAGGCGATGTTCAAAGCTGTCGTCTTCGAGTGTCTCGAGATCCTTATGAGGACCTCCAAGGCTGCGGTCACCCCAACAGGCGTCGGCCGCATCTCACTGAGGATGTACCTCAGTCTGATGAGGATGTCTGACCTCACAGCTGCTGACACACAGTCAATTTGCGCTAATTCGTGATCTTTGAGGCTGCTGAAGTCCTCGACATCTGTCTTCGGGGATAGATCAGGCACTCGGCATCTTCCGTCATTGTACCTCCAGTTGGAGAGTCTGTCCAGGGAGATCTCGTCAGCTTCGCTGTACAGGAACGTCCGCAGAGCTTGCAGCGCCGCTGTGACGACAGCTACTGACGTGTCGTCGATCGAGAACCGCAGGAGGAGGAGAATGTTCCTGGAGTTTAACGCTACCAAGGGGGCGGGCTCCAAGACCTTGTCGTACCATCCACTTCTGCTCTTCTCCATGATGTTGGCGATTGTCGTCAGGGCGGTGCAGCGTTGCTGTTGCGTCGATGAACGACTCAGTTGGAGGAGCTCCTGGAGGGAGTACCCGGGACGCTCCGGCTCTTCTCCGTGGTGGTGGAGGCCCTGGTCCATCGGGATGGAATCGTCTTTGAAAGGGAGGAGAAGACCCTCGAAGGAGAATCTGGCGTTGTAAGGCTCCTCTGGGGAAGGACCTGGGGACTCGCTGGGCTCCAGGTCCTTCATCCACTCTAGCTTTGGAGGCTCCACATCGTCCATGTGCACCCAACGGTTCTCCGAGGCTTCTTCCAGGATTTTAGAGACTGGAAGCGGTGGAGGGACTGACGAGTCTGTCTCCATCTTTACTTCCTCGTTCTGAACTATTCTCGATGGGGCATTAGGGTCCACTCCCGATGGGGCTGATGGGGCTTTCGGGGAGATTCTCGATTGCATGGAGGAGTTCTTCATAGCTTTTATGAACTTTATGACGTCTGGACTTAGCAGACTCTCCAGCCGAGCCTTCTCCTGGAGGATCTCCTCCTGCGTCATTTTGTTCAGTTTCTCTAAGTTCTCTTTGTGGATCTCCGAGGACAGGGGACCGCGCACTAGAGCACTCCCTGATTCCTCACTATCTCCGGGAACTCTCGCAGAGTTAATGGGGGACTCTAGCGAGGGCTTGATGTTCTGGTGAAAAAGACTGCCCGAGGTTTCGGTTTTCGGGGTTTTTCTCACCAGGAAGACCTCCGGAAAGCCGGTGGCCTCCGAGGAGGGCTCTGTTGGGGTTCTGGGGGTGCCAGGGGGACCCGCGAATTTCTTCTCGATTATGTTCCCCAAGATTATCGCCGGAGTCGAGGGGACCTTCTGCGCTGGGTCCAGTGGATCCTCCACGATTTTCTCCTCGAGGGAGGGGTTGATCATGGCTCCCGTCGATCTAGACGTCGAGACGTTTGATTTCTCGCGCATTGCCCTACGTTCCGCGAATTTTGATCTGAATTTGGGGGGCTCGGAGGGGGGGAGGGCTTTGCCGCGTAAATTTATGACTTTGGCAGAGGGCGCCTCTCGGGACTGCAGGAACTCCTCCTGCATGCGGAAGAGCTCTTCCTCGCCATCGCCCGGTTTCGGGCGTTTCAAGGTCGTTGGGTCGTTCATTATTGCCGTGAGGGGAGGCTATTTGGGGGAAGATGTTGGTTTTTGGGGGCTCGGCCGCCTGGAGTCAAACAAATCGTGACTTCTTCAGGGGGATTTCTCTTTTATTGAACCTGGGGGAGGGGGTAACACGCTTCTTGATCCGCAACAAAATTTCCGCAGCAAAATTCCCAAATGAAAAGAAAAATGAAGACAGTTTCTCCAGCGACAATTGTATTGTTGACATCTGATCGGCCGCCAATTTATTCTTGGTACATTATATCCGTCGATAAATTATCCGATATTTCATGTGTTTACAATGTCGGCTGATGAACCGTAAGTAGCGAGGGTTTCCGATAACCCTCTCTTCGATTCCAATCAAATTCACTGCTTCACAATGTTCCCCCATTTCAGTAGCGAAGTGGTAAAAAGGTTTAAGTCGATTTTGACTATCGGCCAGTTTTCAGTGAATATCTCGGAATCTAGGGAAGATAGCTAAATTTTTGTCAAGACCTTTTTTGTAGCACTCAATTTGCTCTAGAAAAAAGCCTGTTACGAAAATTTCGTTACCTCCTTTGGATTCGGAGATATTCTTCAAAAACTCAATTAAGAGATAAGTCGACTTAAGGGTAGACGGAACCCCTTTGTCTACATCAAATCTTAGAATTGTTTTCTCCTACAATTATTAATTTCTACCTATGCAATTACTTTATCGTCTCGATTATCGCATTGTTGAGTCAATGAAGTAGTTTAATGAATAAAAAATAATAATTGCAGGAGAAAACACAATTCTAGAGATTCATATAAACGCAGGGGTTCCGTTTCCCCTTAAACCACTTTACCACTTCGCTGCTGATTTGTATTGTCACCGATAGCCTCGTTACCTCACACGAAATTTGTTTTTAATTCAGTATTACCAAATTTGCATTTAATTTGACTTTTTTGCACGTAATATTGGTTCATCAGAAGAGGATATAAGTTGAATGAAACCTCCGGCAAATTTGTGGGTGATTATTTTGTACCTCGGGAATAATGAATGTGGAGGAAATTGTTGGTGGAAAGATTGTCAATGGATAAATTGTCGTTGAAATTTTGTCCACGGATCAAAAGTTACGGAACCCCTGGGAGGATTAGATTATTCTCTGTGATTTCTTACCTTTGATTGCTGAAGAATATCATTGAACGACGAAGTGGAGAGGTTACACCGGTGGGTGGAGAGAGGTTATGTCAGAGGATGGCAAAATGTTTACGGAAAATACACTGAATCTAGTAGAGTTTATTGCAACTATCGGGATTTAACTGTGTTTGTTGCTTATGAAAATTGTTGACTGCGTGTGGACGAGCGTTTGTGGGATTTTTATTGTTAAAATGAGAGGAGAGACAACAATGAGGAGAGCTCGGTTGCATTTACAAACTGCACTGGTTCTGTTTTACCTAGTGAGAAAGAAATCTTCACTTATTTCGCATTCCACTTTCAAATACTCAATTTTCAATCGTCAATAACTCGATATCGGCCGAGTGAAAACCGACGATTTTTTTTTCATTTTGAAGAGATTTTTTGGGGGCTTCAAATGAGCTCTAACTCGTTGAAATCGCACCATCACGTCGGGTGATACTGATGATTGAAGAAATTCTGTTTTACCTCCCCTTCCGGACGAGTATGATGAATAATAAATATTCACTCGTCAATTGCTAGAGATCCGCTGAGTGAAATTCCTCAAATTTTTCTTTATTCCAAAGGTATTTTTACAGGCTTGAAAATGAGGGTAGATTCATTGAGATCGCATCGTTGTGTCCAAAGATATCGATCATTGAAGTTCTTTCACCCTCTTCTCTTCTAAATTAATTTGTCTCAATTTCGTGCATTTCGTTTTTAATTAGACTTGTTAACTCCTCTAAATTCCTTCATTCAATTAGGTGTTTCATATGCATAATGGTAAAGAAGATTTCACCCTTCCCAGCTCGCAATTTCCCCCTCCCCGCACAGTCGCAGCTGATGGCCCAGTGATGTCAAAAATCTGTCACCTGTGAGCTCCCATAAGTGTCGACCACCTAAAGTGACTGAAAAACATTTAAAAAAACGTAGCCCCCACCTCCGTGGGACTCGCAGCATCCCCGATAAGTCCACAGAATGATGTGTGTACTTGAAAACAAGTATCTCGAGCCGTTGAACGCAGTTTGACACAAGAATACGATCAATTTTGCCCTATCAGTCTCATAACCTTGTCCAATTCCATATGAATCTTCATTTCGCGAATGCAGTAGTCCCCCCGATGTCGAGTATTTTACCTAAATAACGAATAAACAAAGTGCAAATACAATTGCTCCTACGAGAATCCATCGAAGAGAGTGACAACAATGAACGGGTGAACTGCGACCTCAACTGCGACTTGATTATTACAAAAATTTAATTACTGTGATGAGTGACTCAGAACAACGCCAGTTGCACGTGCCTTATCGTGAATATCACAGTCAAAGTCTGAATAACACCAGGAACCAGGTGGCCCTGGTGGAGACTGATGCCCTAGTGGATTTATCGACATCGAGCCAAGTTAATCAGTCATCTGTTGTTAAGAATCCAGCTTTATTTGTACAGTCGAATATCAACGATTTGACGGAACTCGCTGTGCCGGATATCGAATTTGCACCTAATTGTAGTAACGAGACGACTCCAATCATTGATTCTCCTGGGATTGACCGGGAGAGTCAGCCTCTCCTCGGTCGGCTCGAGCTTGATGTTACCTTTAATAGATTTCCAGGTAAATGGGGGGGATTTCGACACCTAATAAAACAACACAGAGAAAAATACAAAACAAAACAAACAAAATATAAAACAAATACGTTCTCGAACAAGTCTTGTTTGGGCCAACAAAATCGCTAGTTGAAAATTGCCAAAAAAGAATTTGTTTGGTTCGAATTTGAAAGTCTCAAACATGAATAATTGTTCTGCTTTCGACAGCAACGAAATATTTGGCTCAAGAAGCGGATAATTCACACCAGGCGGTGCCTTTTCGGGATGAAAATATCTCATACAGAGGAAAATTTATCAACTATTTTATCCCTAAGTTACAAGATTGCTATCATATTATTATTGTTTCATTTAAGGGTTCATTTGTTGTCTGTGATTATTAGACAGCCGAAACGAAAAACTACTATCCCTTGTTTCGCATAAAACAAAGATTTTTCGGGCGCAAAATACGTATGGGAGTATCGAGTAACGAAGGAGTAGTGCTAGAAATGACATTTCTTGCGTGTACAGAGAATGCAATTTTTTTTTAACTACTAAATCTACTTTTGCGACAAAAATTTTTCATTGCGGCGCACTCTGTGCATGTTTAGCACAGAAAATTGGTATTTTTGAAGATCAACGGCGTTTTCTATAAATAATTTATAAACAATCAATTTTTCACCATAAAAATCATTCGTTCGGAATCGTAACAAATTCATTAAAATTCAGAATTTTACCAGAAATCGGTTTCATGCTTTAAAAAATAAGGTTTCCGAAAAGTTGAACAATTTCAATAATTTATTTTTAAACAACGAATGTTTAAAAAATAATAATAATTCTGTGCAAATTGTAATTTTAATGACACTAAATATTCGTGATTTTTTGATAATTTTCACCGCACAATTTAATCGACAAATTTGATGATTGAAAATGGTTGAATCTATAGTGTGGTCTGTACCAAACTATGAAAAAAATTGAATATCCTGAATGATGTTATTTAATTTCAGATGATCCACAGTTTTCGGAGTTGGTCTGGCAAGCCGAGTGCGCCATCGACAATGGCATCTACCCAGAAAGGATATATCAGGGCTCCAGTGGCAGTTATTTCGTCAAGAATAATGCTGGTGTAAGCATTGATGTGAATTTCGTCATCTCAGTGGAAATTTTCCATAAATCCCTTGTGAAAAAAGCATGCAACGTTTTTTTTCCGATAGAGCTTCATTCATAGCGCTCAACTTCTCATGCAGCTCTCATTCTTTTCTCCCAAAAGCAATATCCACATCTGCCCCAAACTCAGAGACATATTTCCAAAAGCTCAAATGAATAAAAAAACAGTGGGAAATTGCTCTTGTATTGTATATATTATAGTTATTTTTGCTAATAAATTAGCAATATGCGTCCGAATGGTTATTTTGCACATCATTTCCTTCTGTCATGTATAATTCATTGTTCATTTCAGTTTATAAAATTGAATAAGATTTCCTTTTACGTAATTTTCTCAGATTTTTAACTTAGTTGAATGTTACCAACATCATTATTCTTATTATCCATTTTCTTCTACACAACCTATTGTCATTTTTACAGTTCTGTCTCTCCCCTCAGCCCTCCGATGAAATGTTAATAGAAAAATTTTATTTACACGTACTTGAATGAATATGAAAAATCACATTTGAAGAAATCATCAGAAAACTCACTTCCGGGGAAATTCACGAAAAATTCAAAATTTTCAACAATCATAAAAATCAAATCAATCAATATAGGTATCGTAATCATCTTTAAACTTCCACTTATGCCATTAAAACAAACATTTGAAGCTATAATTGAATTCATTTGAAGCATGATATTCAATGATATCCCCGGAATTCTGATTTTCAAAAAATACAAAATTTTTGGAAATTTTCGAATAAATAAAAATAACGATTATTGCTGTCGCCTTCATCTTCGAACTCGGTCAAAGGGACATCCAAAAGAATTTTTCAAGTAATCATTCAATCAATTCAGAACATTTTTTTTCAAGTTATCGTGGGAGAACCGATTTTCCAAAAAAATCCAAAATTGAAAAATCTAATCGATGAATTAAATTTTAATTGGTGGTGATCGATAGGGCTCAACAATACCTACATTTGAAAAAAAGATTCAATTCCACCCATTCATTAGCGAACAATTGAAGAAAAACGACACACATACGTACAGACACGGTCTAAAAATTGCATTTTGGGACTTTTTGGATCATAATGGGTCGATATAGCACAAAAAATTCAAAACTGGAATTTGCCCGATTACAATGCTCCCATTGGGAAGCAAAAACTAATCATTAATTTCTCACCCCCCAGAAAATAATATCAGTCTTCAAGCCCAAAGACGAGGAGCCATATGGCAGATTAAATCCAAAATGGACAAAGTGGATGCATAAATTATGCTGTCCCTGTTGTTTCGGTCGTAGCTGTCTAATTCCAAACCAAGGTTATCTGAGTGAAGCTGGTGCGAGTCTAGTCGACCGTAAATTGGGTCTTGGCATAGTCCCGAATACCCGAGTGGTCAAGTTGGTCAGTAAAACGTTCAATTACCCCCGCATAGACAGGCAAAAAGCGAGGATGAAGCAGGTGATAATGGACCAATTCCCAGCTGTGGGTTCGCAATTCAAAAGACTGGGATTACCGCCCAAAATCGGATCATTCCAGCTGTTCATGGACGGCTACAAGGACGCTGACTACTGGCTCAGAAGGTGGGAGAACGATCCTCTGCCCACGAGACTCGCCAGGAGCTTTCAGCTGCAGTTCGAGAGGCTCGTCGTTCTCGATTACATCATCAGGAATACCGACAGGGGGAACGACAACTGGCTGATCAAGTACGATCCAGCCGCTGCTAAAGCATCGGCCGAGGAGGCTGAGGTCCACATTGCTGCTATTGATAATGGCCTTGCTTTTCCATTCAAACATCCTGACTCGTGGAGAGCCTATCCTTATCACTGGGCATGGCTCAGCCAGGCTAAACTACCGTTCAGTGAAGCCACTAGGGAACTTGTGCTGCCACAACTGTCCGATCAGAATTTTGTACAAGACCTTTGTGACGATTTGTATCAACTGTTCAAGGTATTCAATTTATTCTGTTTAATTAATTCGATTCCATCCACTTTTTGCTAAAGGCCCGGGGGGATTATCTTTCGAACGTTATCTCTCTCTCTCTCTCTAAAATTCTCTACAAAAAATTTCCTCTGACAGCTTTTCCTAAATACCTTCATCACAATGATAATTAACAATGAAAAAGATGTGATAAATCAACGAGTTACGTAAAAGTTACATACTGCAATTATTTTGAAAGCAAATAATTTCGTGAAAAAATACCACAAGAAGAACAGAACATTTACCATCAGCTCATGTTTCTCATAATTATTATTGCAGCAAGACAAAGGCTTCGACAGACATCACTTCGACAGACAAATGAGTGTAATGAGGGGTCAAATATTGAATCTACAGCAGGCACTCAAAGACGCCAAGAGTCCAGTGCAGTTGGTACAAATGCCTGCTGTAATAGTAGAAAAGTAAGTGCTCATAATCATTAGGGGGAGACTACTGTGAGTTTTAAATGTCGCGGGCTATTGGAGTGAGATTTCTCATGCATCGAAGATCGATTATGTATGTCTAAAAACGAATAATTAGTGCAAAAAAATTGAATACTTATTGTTCGTTTGTCCCGCAGATGCTTAAAAAGTTAAAAATTATCCAGGGCTTCCAATTTTTGAGCTACAGAGTTTTATTGTTAATTTTAAAAAAAGTGTACAATAACAATTACCAATTAGTTTTTTTTTTAAATCCTACACAACTAATTTTATTTCGTTTAGTATAAAAATTTAAACGGTTTAAGTCGACTCATCTCCCAGTTGAGTTTTTGAGGAATATTTTCGAATCCAAGGGAGATAGCGAAATTTTCGTAATTACATTTGTTGTAGCTCTCAATCGGCTCTACAAAAAAGATTATAACACAAATTTTCCTATCTCCCTTAGATTCCGAGATATTTATTGAAAACTGGTCAATAGTCAAAATTGCCTTGTACCGTTTTACCACTTCGCTACTGAGTTATTCGTTTTTAGACATATATAATCGATCTTCAATGTATGAAAAATCTCACTTCAATAGCCCGCGACTTTTAGAACTCACAGTAGTCTCCCCTTAATTAACATAATTTTGTAAATTGAAAATGGAAAAATCCTTTACATAATTTTAATCTGTTTTCACCCCCAGAGCGAAAGGCAATGGAACGCCAAAATTATTCTCGTTTTCCGATACATTCACCCAGCGCTTCCAGAACAAAAGTCCCTTCTTCTCTTGGTGTTGAATCACCTCCCCCCCCCCAGACCAGTGGAACAATTATAAATACAACATAATACTTAAGGTCATAATAACTGAGTTGAGAGTGAAATGACGAGGCGATGAATGAATACAAGCAGATGGTAAAATTATTTGTAATACGATTTTAATGAGAACGCCCTCTTCTTCCTAATCCCCTTCATCTCAGTGAATTTAGCATTTTTTAAATATTATTTTTCATTGGGACTCTAGATCAAACTGAGAAAATTTGTGGTGTAAAAAATTGTATACATGATGAATATAAATGCCTGTTCACTTTTCATTGAATAATGCATACGGTACACTGATGTAGACATTTGTATACAAAATTTAATAACGAACAAGACACAAACAAAACATGAGTAGTTCTCCTGAAACAGAAATATGTATTTTTTCAGTCACATGTACTATTGTAGAATTGTTTGTGCCAATTACTATTATTGTTACAGTTATTACCGAGCATTTGAATAAATATTTAAAGATGACTATTTGAGAGATTGTGAGCTGTTGTGAAATTTAAGGGAATTATTGCAGAATTACTTTACATTTCGTTGAATATCTCCATATCGAGTGGTCTTACAAGGAAAGATCAGAAGACCTTTTTTGTAAATGAGAAAATTTCCCATGAAAAATATCTACTGACATTTTCCCCCCAAATCAATGGTTTATGAGATAATTGAATTATTAAATCATACTAATTTGAGGGATGAATGAATCGAGAATGTTGAGATGAAATTCTTCTCATTCTTCAAAAAAACAATTATTCAATGTTCTATTACACCGCAGGGTGGACGATTTGAAGTTAAAACGAATGACAATGTTTAACAAAAACATCAATTGCAGCTAATTTCATCATGATTCGTGCTCCATCCGCGTGTTTCGTCAATTGAATGTACTCTTTTGATAAATACAATTTTCACCCATTTTTAACTGATTTTACTATCTCGAGAGGATGGAAGTGAGCCCTGTTTGCACGAAAGTGCAGGAGAAACAGTCCACTCCTTATTACAGACCCAAGGGGTGTCCACCTCCACGTCCTGTGAGTTCAATCGCAGAATAATTTTTCACATTTTGTTGAATATTTCGATAACGACTG